AGGGGACACTGCATGGTCTCTGCTGTTCTCACGGGCCCCAGACAGGGGTTCCTGTACGACATCTATGATGGAGCCAGCCTGCTGGCATCCTACCCTTACACAGCCGACACATCCAAGGTAATCTTCAATGTGCATGTAATGGGGCGAACATTGATTTCTTTTGCTCATACTGAAATCCCATGTTTTCCCATAATCTTCCTAACACTAGTTATCGATGTGACTGTGTGAAACTGGTGATAGCAACACATAGATGATCATTTCAGTCTGGAATCACTGTTTTTTTTTTAGACAAAAGCTTTCTTTGTTTTGTATGCCTGATAATGCTATAAGTGTAAACTACAGTTGGTAAAGTTCAGAATTCCAGGTACATGTGCATGTATTTCTAGGATTGTGGAAGTAAGGTACATCAATTCTTTGATATCACTAACAATTTGGGAATACTTACCTGTCCCTGTTGTGCCCAGGTTGTGGCAGGAGACAGCCTCCTCCATGCAGTGACCAGGAATGGGCTAGAGACCTACACCTTAAGGAAGTTTGCTGCAGCGGTCCACAGGATGGAGGACATCGACAACATCCACAACACCTGCCCTCATCCCAACATGGACATCTGTCTCATCGGGATGAGACCTTTCATAGCCATACAGGCATGTACATGTAGCCCCAGTCTCTTTAACTACAGTATTGGAAATACACAATGTACATTGTCCTCTGGAAGTATGGTTGAGTTGATGTGAAATTATAAAATTGTGACAGATGCTAATGATTAATGTAAGGGAAGTGATGTTAAGATTACCTGCAGCTAGCTTAAAGAACTTATTTTCATCAAGATATAAGTTAGATTAAATCAGAAGAATTATTTGAGACTCACACCGGTATTGTCATTGATATTGTGTAATGATTTGCTCATGTCATCATTACATGTATGTAGGATATCAGTGTGTGCACATCCCATGTAATCCTGCTGTCTAAGGTGGAATCTCCCAGGACCAAGCAGGTAGCAGGACAGTCCCACTGGAGTCTGTATGCCTTACAGAATGCCTCAGTAGGTGTGTACATGTATGTTACTGATATGAACATGGTGTTTCCCAATCAACCTCATATTCTTCAATTGCATTGTTCTTTCAAAGAGTTGATTCAACGTAGTGGATGACCTGTAACTGCTTTCTGTTCATTCATTTGTCTTGGAAAGTAGTTTGATTTCTTTCTAAATGTAATGTTTTATTGAAATGCATTTCTTTCCCTGCTAGGTCAACTGTACAAGGACATGTTGGACCTGGGCCTGCGTTACCAGAACAGCAGCCCTCCAGCCTTCCACCAGCTGCTGTGTGAGGGTCACCTCCTCCTGAGACAGGCACTGTTCAGTCAAGGTCAGACTCTGTTCAGTAATGGTCAGTTAGGTCACCAAAATAATGGTGGTGTCAATGGATCAAGGGGAAAAAGAATGATTTTAGAAATAACTTGATCCACACATGATCTCAATCTTAATGTGTAACTCCCAAAACTACTGGACAGGAGTGTGACCAGGGGTTAGGGCATGCAGGGAGGCTCCCTACCAGGCTTTGAAAACTTGATTGTGGAAAATTCTACCACTAACTATTCCAACCCATTCACTAGCTGTGCAAGAAAAGAAAAGACTACTGAGTATTTGTAGTTGTTGGTATGAGCTGGAGTTTAGAATGCTGACTTCCTTTCCCCTCCAGAAGCAGACGGCAGGACCCAGCAGCTGAAGGACCTCCTGTGTGAGTCGTGTGGTCTGCTGGGTGACTACCACTCCCTGCCAGATAGTCAGGATTGGACCCTGGCCCTGCCCTACTACAACATGTCCGGCCTGAAGGTGGCTGCCATTGTACAACAGGCTCTGCACCAGATGCAGCCTGACCGGGCCCAGCCAGGCTACGGGAGGGGCTGGTCCATTTCCTGAACCACGTGCTTTTCACTGGTGAGGAGCCGCTGGAGACAGACAAGTCCACTTCAAACATCATACTCGAGGCCTACAGCCAGCTGGAACCAGAGAGCCTCTCCAAGGTCATTATCAAGTCCAGGCTGGGGCAGTTCGATGACCAGAAGGCAGTGTCGATGCTAAGGAAGATCAAGAGGGGGGTGTCTGTGTCAGGAGGCCGCTACCTACCCCGGCCGCTGGACGTCCTAGCCATGGCTGTACTGAAGCTGAGGTTATGTGAGCCGGAGCAGGCACAGATCGTACTGTCTACAGTCAGCGACCTGCAGCTGGTCCAGGTGCTGGTTTCTGAGCACCAGCTGCTGCGCACGGAGGTAACCCAGCTGTCGCACCTGTCCCAGCTGCTGAGGCGCCACCAGCCACAGGCACTCATCACTGCACTGGTCGCTCTGCAGGAGCAAGATGTCCTTCCGTTTAAAACGGCATTACAGCTGCTGCGAGGCTCGGAAGGCGAGATTCACCAGAACACCCACATCCGTGACTATCTCGAAGGTGTTGTTCAAGCCCGTCATGGACAACCTACGAGTCAGAAGGTTACCATCATGCTGTGTGACATCTACATTCAGAGGCTGCTGGAGTGGAAACCTCCGACCTCACGACCCATGCCCAACCCGGGACACATCCACCTGCCCCGTGGGGGTGGCTGCTTTGGAGTGCGATACCCTTGGTTGGACCATCTCCCACCGTTCAGAGGTGTCGGCTCTATCAAACAACCCTGCCTGTGGGTCCACCTCAGGGTCTCCCCCCCTCGTGGGTCGCCCATGCAGCCTCCCACTGCAGCGGCCCCGATTCAGATCAGCAAAGTCTCTCCGTCAGTCAGTGAGGAGATGTGTGCGTGCTGCTGCTGTAACGAGGACCTCCTGAAACTACAGTCTCTGCTGTGCGCCAGTAACACCAGCACCGACATCTCCCAGCACATCCTGCAGGCCATCGCTGAAAACATGAAGGGCTTCCTCGCCGTCAAACTCCTCTGTCTGGCCAAGACGGACCCCAAGAAAGCTGTGGAACTCCTGATAGACTCCCATCCTTCCATACTGGTCAATTTTGGTGAAACTGTGTTTCCAGACAGCCAGGACAGGTGGAGTGACGTGCTGCATCTTCTTCTACAAATGTTCAAAGATGAGGACAGCCTTCCAGATGACAGGCACGAATCCCTGACCGGAGCACTGCAGGGGGTCCTCTCTTGCTTGGCCTCCCTCATGGAACCTCAGGCGTTCATCAACTTACTACCCTCTAATGGCACAGTGGATTTCTTCCTCCCCTACATCCAACAGTGTCTGAGGAAACACAGGGCTGGGGAGATGAGGAACAGGGTGGCATCAGGACAGGTGTAAAGGACAGATGATATCATATCCAGTTGCTCTAGTAACTGCTTTTTTGGCGACAGATGATAAATTATATTCTTAAAACCTGCTTTCAGCTGCTGTTTACAATGTATGTTATCCTGCTATCCAATCCAAACCTACTATAGATGCATAGTCTCTTTGAAGATGAAAGCTATTATAGGCTTGGATGTAGGCTTTGCTCATGTAGCAAAAAACCCTTCCAGGTTTATCATATTAAGCATGCATACATTAGCTGCTACTTAATTAAGAATAGGACAGTGGAATAAGCAGGCCTTGTTCATTATTGATACATCCTGCTGGCCTGTTTGTGACACTAAGGCTTGTTTTAAACCTGCAGTAACTTAGAAGTCCACTTATGGGGACTTGGGTTGTATGATTCTAGTGACAAAACGACATAGAAATAAGCATTAAATATCTCTTTATTGTTATTCTGAATACATGTATCTGCAACACTTTTTACATTTACAATTACAAATGGTAAACAATATACAATTTGGGCCAACAATTGTCATTTCAAAATTAAGATAATCTCATCTGAATAATACCGTTATCATTGGTCCATTTCCTTTAATGCATCTTCTGTAGCATCAGTTTCACAATATAACAGTAACAAAGCCGTTGCATGGTCTTCATCAATCATTTTCTTGTTAGAAAAAACTGTTCTGAAACCAGTACAAATTTGGTGGGTAAATAAGCCCCCAAACAGGCTGCTAATACCTGTCATGACACTATGATTATTGCCACTGATCATTCAACATTGGTCAAATCAATAGAGGAGCAGCATCTGTTCAATTCCCAAACATCTTGATTTCCTTTCATTTTGGCAATATTTCTTACTTATTCCAAATTACAGTACATTAAGCCACCTACAAACTACATACAAAATACATTTCACCTATCAAATATACCTAGTAGTATGCTCAATAACCATTGATATGGGGGATAAAAGGCCAATAGGAATGAAAAGATATTCTCTACTGATTCACTTTCAAAACCTATGTAGTAAAAAGCTCCATATAGTTCTCCATGCCACCTTTTGGCAAGTCATCACTAATACAACTCTCCTGTCAATGGAGATAGCTGTCCTGCTCTAGTCCAAAAACCGCACTGACATCTTTTGTTCCACTTCGCTTCTCTCCATAGCCTAAATGGGATGAATGATATGAAATTAGTGAAAACACCAGAACAGCTAGTTTACACTTTAACAAGCTGATAGCTAATGCAGTACTTTGGCCAACCAACAATCAGTAAATCTCCCTGATTACATAATTACAACTTGCATGAACAAGAAGAGTTGTTGGGTAACAATGAACTGATCTTGGATTGCAAAGGACAAAACTGCAAACTGGCACACCAGATCAGTATATGTCCTCATTGTTTTCATACTGTACCTGTAAGAATAAAGTTAAATGAACAGTTCTACCCACTTTGGAAAACTCCTCAAATGAGATGCGCTGGTCTCCATCTGTGTCTGCCTCTTGAATGGTCCTGTCTGCAATACTGCCAAGCTGCTCCTCTGAGATGTTAACCCCAACCATCATGCGCAAAACCTAATACAGCAATACAGGAGAGAAGGTCAACATTATGGTAGAAGAGTACTACAGAATTGATTCCACTGCAACTTTACACACTATGAAACCCTCCTTTCCCCTTCTCTGCTGTAGAATTAAGTCCCTGTGAAAATAAGTGAACTTACAGTATTCAACAAAGCATCAATATAATGCGTACCTGTAAAAGTTCCTCTCTGGAGATCCTGTTGTCTTGGTCTAAATCATACATCCTGAAAGCAACTGCACAAAACAGAAATAAAAATACATGTACACATCTATCAAAAAACATCTACAGAATAGCTCTATATGGAGCATCCTTTACACTTAAAGTCCATTGGTAATATTCATATGATAGCTTTTTGTACTCTAATTCGATGTTTTCTTTAAAATAACAAAAAAAGCATTAGTTCTTGTCATGTAAAAGAAAAATCTGTGAAAAGTAGCAGAACTCACATTCCAGTTTCTTCTCCCTGCTATTTACGCCATCTTTGTCATTCTTCTGATTGGGGTCCAGGGGTCGGAACCGAGCCAAGGTTCGCATGTACTGACGGAAGTTCACCTGCTCATCCTCCCTGAGTAAAGTAGTATCAAATTTCATTTCTGAATATGTATGAGTTTCTCCACCTTATGCTGTAGTAGATTGTCTAATGTCACTAACTGCAATTGCAAATTGTAGTAGTATGTATAATTTAAGAAGATCAGCAGCTGTGCTATGCTATATCTGTAACAGTTCCTAAACTACTGGATTCATGTTATGACAAACTCATGTAATACAGGTGGTTTGTAAAATAGCAGCTATAGGCATGTTACCGTTACAATACAAACCTACTTACCCTTCCAAAAAGAACAACTGTACAACCCTCTCTCCAAGGGGATTGATGGCAAGCTCAGGAATTCTCTGAAAGTCCTCTCGACTTAGGAGACAAACAAGAATATGTATATTATTATTAAGGAATTTTTTTATCATATATTTATAAGAATACACATAACTTTTCATAAGTCAAAGGTCTCAGAGTTAAGACGGAATTGCCCTGACACAGGGAAGGTTTTAAGACATTGAAACGATATTAATGAGTACAGTATGTAACGTTATATCATAAATTTTATCAAAACTGTAACGTTATACTCACCTCAGTGCCCCATTCTGACCCTTGTCCAGGCTGGTAAACCGACTGTACAGCCGTGTGATCTGGTTGTGCGAGACTGAAAAATGTGGAAATCACAAAACTATTTTGATCATGAGTTTCAATTTCGCATAATTTACAAGCATGTTTACGAGCATGACGCGACCGCCCCCGGTCCCAAGGACGAAGCTACACACAACAACATGACGAATCGCGAAATCAACTCTCAGGGCGACCGAGAAGATTTACAACGTCGATCTTACAACTAAAATGGTGTCTATAGAATATCCAGATGGCATTTAAACATCGAATACAAAACATACACCCAGTTTCCCGCTGTATTTGCTCGATTTCTTCCTGTCGCAGGAGCAGAGAAGCCCGCGAACCCATCTTGGAAAGCCGGAAGTGATCGCGACGAAGGGACTCTTTCCCCGAGAGGATGACGGGTAGGGCGGTACCACTCCCCTGGAGGACGCCTTCAGGACCCTCCAGTGCCTGCTCCAGTGTATAAAAGATGTTTTCACTGCGTGCACATCCCAAATAACCCAAAATATGGTAATCTGTATAAGCTCCATCCTTTTTAAGAAGTAACTTTAGAAGATAGGCTCAGATTCGTCGTTTTTATTCCAAGAAAATAGTTTTTTTTTGCTATGCACACAGCAAATACAGTACTCGCAATGAACGATAGATGGCGTAAGTTCGTAGGGTAGCAATGCCTTCTCCATATACAAATTATATGCTTGGATTTGTTCTTCACGAAGCAACCCAAACTTTTTTTAACCAAGAAAAAAATCGTTAAAAGCTACAGATTGCATTGAAAGGGTGGTGCCAGAATAATTTTGAAATATAACTTTAAAAAAGCATTTCTGGACATGTTGTCAAACAATTGATTTTGTTGATACAAGAGGTGTATTATCTTACAATATAACGTTACGTAGTTGTCCCTTGGTGTAATGCGTATGTTAATTTTACAATGTGAACAGAACCATTCTGATGTTCCTTTTCACAGGAAGTTGGCTACAGTATTATGGAATAGCATTTATCCAGATACAGAAATATCCAGTTTGAAAAAGATGACTTTTAAAAATAGATGACTATCAAAAATAGACGTCAATTGAAAAGTTTTTGCACATGTTTGTTTGTTTGTTTGTTTATTTAAACGCAACAGTGCATAACAAGTGGCAACCAAGTACCAGGCAGCAACAAGGCTGGTAGCGGCTACCACTGACACATAAATACAAGGCATATCATAACAATAAAATACATGTAACCCTCACAAGTTACTAGTATTTGACAGACAACAACAAATTGAAGATGAGAGCTCCACCAATGGCATTGGGAACATTGGCCTTCCTTCTTGAGAAGTCACCTCGAAGTTTGAAATAAACGTCAGGCTGGCGCAAGGACATTGAGTATGGACAAAACATCTCAGTTCTAATTCTATTGAGCACTGCCAGAAAGAAATATTCTTCAATCTGTGCAAGGAAGTTCAACCTCCAGGTTTCTCCAGGTGAGTCAGGTTGTCAAGAGTAAATATCCTTGCTTGAACCAAGGAACAAAAACTTCCCGCTGTCGATGATTGACATGTCATTACAGATGTTGATTGGTCCATTCAAGAACCTGGGCGTGGTCGTCTCTACCCCGGTTCGTCTGTAGTGTATCCTTACATTCTGCCCATTCAGGAACTACTTTCTATTTCATTCTCGACTCGACGTTGTAAATTCAACGAACTGTCCATATAGAACGGCGTGGATTTCAACAAAATTGTATCTTCAACCTTAAAGTCTCAACAGTTGTTATCCATAGTGATAGGAGGCAATGAATTCTGACGTTTTGTATGGATGCTGCGGATGTATATTCTTGATAATTATGTAGTGAACCCTCCGTCCAGATCAAAGAGGGTGCACAAGGGCCACCAGGGGAGCGCGACTTCGGTTTCTCATGAGAAATTCCATGAAAGACAGGCGCAAAATATCGGCTTGAACATGGTTTTACCGACAATCGGACGGAATTGTTGCGAAAGAAGAACCCTTCTCTTGGTGCTGGTGCTCCTGGGTAAGTAGAGAATTCCTTACAATGGTGGGTAATCGAGCCGAAAAAAGTCGTACTTGAGTGAAGTCTGAAATCTCAGTGGCAGCATGGAGGGAGCCGATCATCTGTTGCTACAGCGCCTAGCCAGAGAACCGGCTAATCGCGAGCCGGAAACTTCCTCGGGGAAGTCTATACAGATCGATAGTGGACTTGTTCGGCTCTCCAATGTGTAGTGGAAGCCAACATCCTCACTCTAACACGCGTTGGGGTTAGATTTTTGTCTCGATATGGCTGCAGCCGTCGCCAAACGAACAACGGAAACTAAGACTGTTCTGCTCTTGGCCCTTGAAGTGTGTGTGTTTGTTGGGAGGGGGGCACCAGGCCTAGGTTTATTTTGTCGTGAACTAACGTTAATTTATGCTTGGTAAAAAGATAACAATGAAGTACAGCATTTCACAGCATGTGAGCTAGAAAATCCACATTTCCGTTTCTGTCTACGTCGTGTTTTGGCTCCATCTGTTGTGTGCCTGTGTCAGGGTGTTATAAAATACATCCACTATCCAGCCTAATTTGTGTTCCTTTTCCTATTATAAATCAAATAAGATTCACGAACTGGAGCAAACGTTTGTTAGTCCCGTCTTTAAATTCTTATCACGCAAAGCTAACAACGCGTCTGATGCAAGGTTATTCCGCATGAGTTTGTAAGTTGTCGGACAACGCACGTTTCGGTTGTCTGGCAGTTGCTAAATATTGGACAAGGTTGAGGTCAACAAATTATGGACCAGATAAACTCTGCACTGACGGGTCAAGTCTAGAATCTAACGGTTTAGACCAGATAACTAGCATTCTACAAAAATTTCCTGAGGAACACTTAAAAAACAATGAAAGGTTTTGTTGGGGATACTTTATTTTGACAGATGGATGTCATTATGTCCATTTGAACCACCACAAGAAAAGTTAATGATGTCTGAGATTAATTCCATGGTTTAATGTTTACATCTTACATGATGCAGTTTACAGACAATGAGATTTGATTGTTTCAAATTTATATGTTGGCCTTTTGAAGTTTTGTAACAGCCTTTTCAGCAATTCAGTATATATTCATCCAGTCTTCAAGTTTGTAATTAGCCTGAACTTTGAGGCTTTGTGAAACCGGCCATCATTCCAACTTCAGAAAACTGAGGTGGTGCCTCTCCAAAAATCAATGTAAACACGAGAGATCAGTTTGATTTGTGTAATACACACATGTGAGTTTACATAAGTAAACCACCCGCTGCTTATAGTGCTGTGGTGTGTCTGCCAGTTGTTTGTGTACCTGTGGCTAAATATCCTCCCCACCTGGAGACAGGGTGAACTTTACTACTGCCTGTTGTGTAGATGGATGTTGAATTGTGATTGATGTGAACTGATTTCCTTTAGAAGAAGCTTCCTTTGTTTTTGTTGATTAATTTGTGTAATTTGTGTCAGGAACTATCATGTTAATTGCTAGAAAGGAGAGAACAAGTTCAGCCATTGTTTTGTATTTTTTCATATGAAAGACACTTGTCTGAAAAATTGACAGGAAAGACTTGGTATATATGAAAGACAGATTATTTATATAGTTTATATGCTTATATTGACTGTTTATATTTTACTTGCTTATATTTGATGATTGTTACATACAGTATTCTAAATCCTGTCTGACTCTGAGGTGCATAAATTATCCAGCACCCATTTGACAGGGAGTGCAGACATGTACTCAATACTTCAGAGTTAGCTATGTGTCGCAAATTTCTAACAACCATCCATGCTTGTTTGAAAATTCTTTTGTAGACTTGAAAATAGGCAGATGGTAAAAGTATTTGCAGCTCTTTTGTAGCTCCTGAGAAAGTTAACAGATTCTGTGTCAGAGAGGTATATTTTCCCTCCCAGTTGGAGCCTTAGGAAAAATGTTTATTCTGTCAACATGGGATTGGACACAGTGTCTGGCTCTGATGTGTTACTGATGTCCCTGGTAGATACATCAGTAGAGACTTATTTGGAAGTCCTCAACTCAATCCAACCCGGCAACCCCAAGGTACAAAAATTCCACTTCCAACTCAAGACAGAACACTGGCATACATGAGCTTACCTTGAATAGAGGAATAATTACCTGTGCAGACATAATTACGTGTATCTATAATGGAAGCCCCATGGGGACAGGCTCTGCAAATAGGGGTCAAAATTAACAATTAGCAGGTAATAAATTAATCCCAGGTTGTGAATGAGTTTGGGGCCTTTTCACCGACGGGTTTAGGGGTGAGGTGCAGAATATTTCTTTGTGTTAAGAAGACAGTGAAAGATTTACCTTATCAATGGCAGCTATGCAAAATGACTAAGTTGTTTTTACTTGACATTTTTTTGGATACACCAGGTCATGTATGTAGTTCTTTGTTTGGAGCTTAAAAGTCAGTAGGAAGCCATGTGCACTGAAGTGTCACAAGTGGAGTATGAGCCTTCTTTCTGATGAGGCAAAGCCAAGGGTTAACAATATACAAAACTCAGGAACATACTTGTTTTTACAGAGATACTTTACTTTTTGGTGTAAATGTATGCAGAAGTTTCTCCTGGAAAGGAGATCATGACATTTTTTGTCCCAGAAAGTCGATCAAATTTGTATTTCTGCAACATGAAGAAATTCAGGTAGCAAATTTCATCCCTCAGATATTCTAATGACATCCTGACCAAACAGCCCCATTGCTTTCAACTTTATGGCCTGCTATTTTACAACTACAAGGGAGGATCAGATCACAGCAATTAGTTGGTGTTGGTTTCCCTGGACTGTCTACAGTGCTGAGATAACTTCACTTGCTTGGAAAACAACAAACGTCTTGTCTGACCTGCAGATTGGACAGAAATAAAACTTGTAATGTAGATCGAAAGCATTGTTCCATTTTTGATGATATTGGGGTGTATCTATCACTCACTTTTTCACTCTAAGTCTCCCTTTTGACTTTTGATGTAGAATTGCCAGAATGTGTATTGGAAGAAAGTATTGACATCCATACATAAAAGTTTTCATCATGAAATCATACATTTTTTGTACCATAGTACGGTACTTGTGTATGTGGCTGTACAGCAGTCAATTCGTCATTTTCCCATCTCCATTGCTAATGTGTTGTAACACTTCTGTTCCAGGTCTGGTTCTGAAGTGCCAGTGTCGGGATCCAGACAGTTTCGTGTTCGATCCGGTGCCCATCGGCCAGGATGTTTTGGACGGGCGTCGTGCGCTGATGTCGTGTGGCGTGGTCGACCCTGTTGGACTGCAGTTTCACTGGGAGTTGGACGGGCGGAGACTGGCGAACACAACACGGAGGTATAACCGACTTCATGACAGCTCAGAACTGTAGATCACGAAATGTTCATGCTTGTTCGTACTTGTTTTGAAAGTCTATAGGCTTGACTGGCCCTATTATGAGTCATAAATCTAGACAGCCAACATCTGTTATGCTTACCAAATATAGACGTTCTCATATACATTCTTGCCCACCAACTGTGCCTGATGGGATGCTAGTAAACCCTGCTAATGACGGACATTCCTGTCAGTTATGTCTGCTGCTAGATGCATGGACGCAATATTCTGATATGGTCGACAGCAGTAATCTCCAAGCAGATGTAGGAGAACATGTGTTTTACACATAGTTTGTGGTACCTCTTCGTGGTCCATATTTTTCTGGCGTTAAAATATAAGCTGGAGAGTACAAGGGACAAAATGCAGACCACGGATAAGACTGGAAAACACAGAAGAAACATGAAAACATGCCAGACCTTACGTCTGCTTGAAGATAAGAGGTACACAGGATATAGCATGTGTTTTTCTGGCTGTGACCTTGGTCGTTAGTCCAGGTCAAATCCCTCTCACCTGTCTCTCATGTAAACACAACACATGGTGACCTCCAGGCCAACTGCCTGTCCGGCAGCCATTGTCCAGTTGCCATGACAACCATGAAGCACATTAGGGGACAAGATAATGAGATATGTACCATATGGTGTCATGATTTCAACAAAAGCCATTCCCAGATTTTAGAACTGATGGGAGGACCATTGAATGAAAAGTCTGTCTTTGTACAAGACAACAGAAATATGTTTGGCTTGTTATGCAACAAAAGGTGAAAATGTTGAATTGAGCTATTGTTGACCACTGATAGGAATGTGGCAGAGAAGTGGATTGATTGAGTTGACAACAGCATTTTGTTCTGCACATTCCAGGTCTGTGTAGAAAGGCCACAGGTCATGTTAGAATCTACCATACTTATATCAAAACACAGCATGAGCCATGGTGTTTGTCCCAACTGTTACCTTCACTGAACATTAAACATGAAAAATCAATGGAGAAGAAAGTACAGAATTATTGCTCTTGAATTTTGTATTGTTCTTGAAGCTTTTTTAATGTCATATACATGTGCCGTCAGGATATCCAACATCACTGTTCTCTTGTGATGTTATATATGTATATAGAGTTTATGCCAGATTGAAACTACATTGAAACTACATGCATTGCGTTTTGACACTGTTGTATGGTTGTTCCAGGGGCATGGTGGGTAGTAACCTCCAGTTTGACCCAGTGGACAAAGACGAGGACCAGGGCGAGTTTCGCTGTGTGGCGTCCAACGTCACCTCTGGCTACACCAAGAGCAGCGACCCTGCATCATTCAACATCAGATGTAAGTAGTCTCACTCAGTAGAAAAAATTACCTTGTCCACAACTAAGTTCCTCTTCCAAGGTGTTGGTAGTCTGCTACTTTCTTTAGGGGTACAATTACTGCATAGTGTACACTAGCTCTGATAGTTGCCCACATCAGCTTTACCTAGCCAGGCCAGAAATGTGCTTTGTTCTATAAGGCAGTGTCAAGAACGGCCTTGTCTAAAAGTGCAACTGATATCATATCAAATTCTTTTAGATTTGCAGTGTTCAAGTCTTTTGACACCAGGGATATCTGCTGTTTTTGTTCTGTAATCCCTCTGCCCTGAAAACTTTTACCTTGTGCAAATTATACATAGCAGTAGGGTTGAAAGGTCCTTTATAAAGACATAAGGAAGTTTTGTTGAAGGGTTCACTATCAAGACTCATGTCAACAATTTTGAAGTGGTAAGCTGATATTTTTATGCATTTCCTCTTGAAGTCCATGGCATGTGAAGTCTTCAAGTTCAAAATCACTTTCAAAGTGTTTGAAAGTATGGGAGTGTTGACGTGATGTTGTAGACCTTCCTGACCCTTTCTACGCCAAGTGAAATATCACCGTAGCCAACTACAATACCACTTCACACTGAGCTGGTTTTCTGGAAGTCTCTGGTTTTTGCTGAAACACAGGACTGGAGGACACTGTGCCACACATGGTTCTCTTCTGGTGGGTCTTGCCAATGTTTCCGAGGTCAGGAGGTTGGGATGGTCTCCCTGCTTGAGTAAATACCCTGGCACATTTGGCAATTCTTTGAAACACCACACAGGCCAGATCTTCGGCAAAAACACAACATTCCAACAGGAGGAACCGTTCCTAGCTAAATGCTTACTTAGTCAGACAGCAGTCAAGAGTTCAACTGTGCAGGATAGATGGGCAGCCTAGCATACTGTCCAGGCATGCTATTGTGAGTGTGTCTGAAGGAAAGGGGTGTGATTACAACACTGATTCCAGACTGTCACTGTGCTTTAGAAGTGATGCAGAGTGTGAAGGACATGTTTGCAAGGTCTCTATGTTTGATGCCACAGAGTCAAGTGGTGTTGAGAAAAAGTCTGTGAAAACAAGGCTCCCAGAAATTTAGACTATGATAGTGCTAGGGATGGAAGATGTAGCATTTTGTCTTTGTAAATGGCAGCCATTTCCTGGGAGTGAAACTTCTAAAGAGACAAGAAAAAATGTTTCGTAGAAAACCCTATTTTTGAAAATCAGTATGTTGATGCTGGGGTTATATTGTAATAGGGGAAGGGGGCACCATTATTCAATACCGTAGGTAGATCCTTGCAAGGTTATAGATGTGTGGACACCTGAGCACACCTGGTTCCCGTCCTGTCAGGGTGCAGGCTGGGGTTTGTTTTCCTGGCTGTCTGAAGAGGCTGAACTTTAACCACACAGAGAACACCAGTCAAGGGTGCCTCAACCTGGCCATGTCTTGTGAACTCTGATGTCTGAAGTTGACTCCCTCACACCAGAGGTCGGGTTAGGCTAATGTTGGAGAATAATGATAGAAAGGATTGTATTTCCTGTGGCAGGAAGGGTTCATTCTTTCTGGAAGAAATTCATGAAAATTGTCATGATCTTCAAAAGAAACATTTAAACTTGGTGCTGTAGTATAGGATCCAAGGAATTCTATCTTTTTGTGAAAGCATTGGAGGATGTCATTATCTGCATAGTATTTCTAAGAATACAGTTGGTTTTCAACTCAGTGCCTTGATGTCTTTGAAGTTAACTATGTGGAGTTTCCTTCAGGAAAAGCGTGGCTGCACTTCCAGTCTCTCGACTCGGTTTCTTCCTTCCCTTTTAGACTACTTTAGCCATTTTAACAGATTCCTTATGTTTTTCTCCTGGGTTCTGTAACAAGTGTTGTATGTGGTTGTGTGCAGAGATGTTCCTGTAACGTATGATCATCAGATTAAACTCTGATCCAGTCAGAATGGTGGGCATTTTTCCTCACAACCAAAGCCCTTCTAGAAGCTGGCTGAGAGATCTCTGAATAGCACAGGAATCCCTGGGATGAGTGAAGTGTAAATCTAAAATCCAGCTGCTGCCAGGGGTGGATCCAGTCCATAACATCAGTTCTGTAGGCCACACAAGTCTGATTTTTTGGCTCTTGGATTTTAAGAATAATGCTGTCAACATGAAAAGTCTTTGAGGAAAGACTGTACGTTGGTTCACACAGTTTAAATGAATACAGATAAATAAACTTTAAAAAGTCAGGTGCAAGTTCTCCACCCAGCACTCCTTTTCATGTCATCTAATTTTTTCCTTCAAATTGTGAAAAGATAAAGGAAACAAATTTTTGGTTTGGCCATACCAGCTTCTTTTGGTATCACACTGTTGAAAGATCTATAAAAAGTGAGTGACATGGTCTGCTGGAAGTATGTGAGTCTACTGGCCTGACGGAAGTCCTCTCGGCCAGTGAAAGCCCGCCTAGCTCAGGAATTCCTTGCAAGTGCCATGCAAACAACGACAAGGGCAGTTGGATGGTATTTCCGTTGCACTTTCGGCAGTCCACATGATATGTATTTAGATGGTGCTAGCTGCAAAATGTAATAATTGGAAATTTAAAACAAATTTTTGTAAAAACTGCATGCCAATATGTAAGATATATGTAACCAGTTTTGAAAGCCACTGCAGACTTGTCACGGAAACAAGAGGGAGATCTGTCTTGTATTAGTAAGATACACCTTCCCTGCTTGGATCCCGTCACCCTTGACCTTCACTGGCTAACTTCCTCAAGCTTAGGTCTGTGGAGTCAGTTGATTGAAGCAATATGTATGTTAGGGTAAAGCCACGTGTCAGTCTTTCCAGTTACAACATTTGCTTAAATCTACTGGTATCAATTAAATCATACTTCAAGGTACATGTTTGTAGAGGAATTTTATAGGATTATGGTCACAGTTTAATCAAATGGCCAAATTATAGCAGATACTCAGTAGGATGTCATTAACATGCTTAACTGCCATATGGTCCCATATTGCCCTATAATTACAGTAATTTCTCACCTTGGTTCACCTGGAGATTGTTTATTTTGTTGCTGATTGTAACATTAAATGAGCCTCATGTATAATGAAAGTATTTGTTTCCTTCAATCTGTTTTGTGTGGAAGAGGAATAATTTTTAAATACCAATCTTAAAGCCAATCTTTGTTTTCGGACAAGTCCTATCTGATTTTTTCGTACACATTACAACTTACAAGAAAAACAAAGTATACCCTTTGGTAGTAAACACCTAGAAGCAAGTCTAAACCTTACATGACTAATGACATTCCTCTGGCCCACCCTGGGTTTCCATGGAAAAGGTTTGCTGGGAGGTAAATAACTTGTTAATTGAATTTAAGAGTAAGTGTGGTACTTTGGTCCCTTAAGGTTGAGTTCTTGTGTGGCCTGCATGCCTTTTTCCATCAGGCTAAGCAAGCCATGTTGATTGTAACTTAAGGAAACCCATTTATCCACATCATGTAATTCATAGGGAGATGCTACTTGAATTTGGCGTAAAGCTTAGCCACTCGTCCTGAATTTAGCATGAAGCATAATCAACCTCCCATAGAGATCTGTTTGACTTCGATGAAATGATGCCTATTGACAACAGTATTGTAGGGGAGTTTCATTATAACCAGGGGTAGGTTAACATTGGCAGTGACCCGCATAACAAACTTGCTATGTCATTATTCTTCTGCAATGAGTTGAACAAATATGATTATAGATATGTTGTCATAAATAGCTAGCAGAATAACTAAAAGGAGTTGAGGGGGGGGGGTTGTAGTACAACAAGGAAGAAATCTGCAAAGATGCTAGGTTTATGTTCCTTTAATCACTGCCACATTGGAGCAGCAGTGGAAATAACAAAATAGCTTTCACCTGAATTACTACAAAATGCCAACATCAAACATTACAAGCACCTGCCTACTAGTACAGTTAGACATTACACAATAGTGCACAGGGATGCATAACTACAGTCGCCGATTATAAAATACTGTGTTACATATAAGTTTGGCCCCGATGGCAGTATTCTTTCCCTTTTAGAGGCCCACCTAGACTAAATTGCCCAGGACTTAGTCCATAGAGTGAACCCTTAAAAACGACTCATTTACACATGGGATAGTTGGGCAAGCACAGAAAGCTGAGATGTTTGTGCTTGTTAGGGTAGCAGACTGTTACTAGTGTAAATGATCCAGAATATGTACAGAGTTTACTCTTCCATATGTGAATGTAGCAGAACTTTCCGGACAGTAGCACTGACAGGAAATGTCGTGCAGAAACATGGTTCTCAACAGTTAAGCCTGAGTAACCTTAGTTGTTCTATGCAAATGTTGCATTAACTGACATGGTCCTTTTCTCAATTTCTGTTGTACTGCAATAATACTTGTGAGCCAGGTAGCCTTCCTGACTGCCCATATCCACACTTGATAAGCCTACTTGCTTGGGTTATGGTGCTGTAGTAGGTTTCAGATGGTAGGGATCCTAACACATCATGCGTCCAACTGGGTAATGTAATGTAAAAGAGTAAGTGCCTGGCGGGGGTTTAGCGGCAGGCTTTGATTCCAGTTTGAATAGTGAGGCTGGTGGACATCAGAGACTGCAGGGCCCCAGGGGGGTGGGCCACTGTCAGGTCAACAGAGGTCCCAGAGAAGCATGGTTAGGCCTTATGGATCCTAAAATACAGGAGATGGACTACAGTATCAACCCTACAGGTTTCTGAGTTGTAACAGATGCTGTAGGGAAGTGGATGCTTTGGTATATAGGCTTCAAAATGCCACCTGCATGTATGTGCAGGTAAATTTGGAGTTGTACAGGTACTAAATGTGAAGGAGTGACAAATTTTACAGCCAAGATGCAGGAACCACGCAGGAGGCTAGTAGCTAGCCTGTGAAGTGTGGATTCTATGTGGTATAATTTACTATTGCTTATAAACATAATACAGCAGTAGGGGTTAGTTACCATGTTTGGTTGTGCTGACCTTTTAGCTGCATTTGCATGTCTGTGTCTTGCCTTAGGAATTTGAGTTCTTAGCCCCTTACATGCAAGGTTGATAGCCCCATAGGACCATGTCATTGCTCAGATGCATAAAGCAGTGTAGAGGAAAAATTTTACTTAAAAACCTGTGCTGGGACAAATAGGTAATTTGCTGGGACAAATAGGTAATTTAACTGTAATGGTAGGACCTTTGCAGACTGTTTGGTCATAGGTGACTACCAAATGTTTGATTTTATGTCTTATTCCTATTCACATATTTATGAAAAATGCTGGTTCTCTCAAGTAGACCAGTTGGACAGTTTTCACATCTTGTATGATTTGAGTCAAATTCTCTAAATGCAAATGTTTTCTAGTTTTCTAAAAACCCTTTCTGTAAAACCAAGAGGTAGAGTATAGGTCTGCTGAAAGCTGAACACTGCTGATCCATTGTCATATGTTTACAATAGTTGGACCAGGAGGCTTCTGTTCCTGTGAGGTATCCTGGTGCCATGCAAATCCCAGGAATCTTGTACTTCTGCTTCCCAACAAACATGCAGGTCTCTGTGATAAACATACAGGTCTCAGTAATAACCTGCTGACTATTGTTATCATCTGCTCAGCCATGTACCGGGTCATTCAGGGTCAGTGCCCAGGTCTGTTCCAGGGTCCAGGTGAAAGTAATGCTGATGAGCCTGTCAGGTGCTAACAATGAACAATTCTAACAGGGCCACACTGATTTATTTCCATAGTTCCTAGACAATTTAAATAGGAAAGTGTAGGAAAGATCAACATAAAGAGGACTGAAAGGAAAATAGCACCTGACTAGTGTGCTGGTGTGTTATGCCAAAGGATGGTTATACCAGCTATACAGATACAGACTATATTCATATTCATACCCTGGAATTAGAGTGAGAGAGAGAAATATGTATCACTATGTGTGCAGAGATACAGACTTTCCCCTCTGACTTTCTTTTCATGTTGATTTTTCAGTTAAGCAATTTTTTAAAAGTAGAATGTGAATAAGTGGCTGGTATACGGAAATAATCTGCAATGTCTTGTCTCCTGCAGGGTTGGACGACACGGGCCGAGTACGTCTGGAGAACCCGAGCGCCGAGAACCTCCTCCAGGCCGGCATCCCCATCACGCTGCGCTGCCGCATCATGGGCAGCCCCACCCCGACCTACGCCTGGTTCCGCAACGGCGAGGAGATGGACACGGGCGCCGACCCTCGCCTGACTGCGGCCAGGGACGGGCGCCTCACCATCGACAGCATCAGTCCCGACGACAACGGGGTTTACTCCTGTAGGGCCGAGAACAGGGCAGGCCAGGCCGTCAGCAACGAGGGCTTTAACCTGGAACTTCTTGGTAGGTAGTTCTCAATGAACTTCTCAGTCACTGATGAAAGATAGCAGATCTGACTCCAAGAAAATTTTATTCTGCTAAAACCAGTAAAACCTGCAGCAGGGAGAAGGTCAATGAACCCTTGCCACTAATCCCCTGTAGACACCCTCCACGTCCCTCCACCCACCTGTGACCCATCCAGCCCTCCCAGTCTGGTCCCCATCAGCGGCCACTCCAAACACAACATCCTTCCCTTCGCGTGGAACGTTTGGTTCTACCGTCGCCAGCATTCCCGCCAGACAGGCGCTTCAGCGTCTTCGGATGTCCTTCTGTTGTCGTGGGCGCTTTCAATCCAACTTTTGTTTCAAGTTTGTCTGAATGTCAGAGTTGACAAAAAACTTACCAAAGTCCTATATTTATTATTGCATGGTTTAATAAATGCAGTTAATAGCATTTCAGTTTCAAATTGTTAGAAATTCCAGCATTATCCAGGACAACATGTTTGCAGGTACCTCTTCTTCCTTTTCTGGCTACATATGTTCCCCCGACATTCTGGTGGGATGCGGGCTGTCACGTTCTGCTTGTGACTGTTTGTAGCCACGTCGTTCGGCTTCCTCTGAGGTTCGCATGTTTCCTCCCAACGCCTGGAATTCCCAGCCGGCAGCAACAACACGATAAGGTGTCATCTGGCAACGTTCCCCTCGCATACCATCACAGGGCTCCAAATACTACTTATTTTCTGGATATCTGCTGTTCTATAGTACGTTGACATTGAGCACTATGTGTACCAGACAAATTTACCTGCACCACCCAGTTAGTAAGTATGCATCACACTGGAAACTGTTAAGACACCGTTGCATTTCATTTTCATTTTATATAATGTAGCAAAGTAAAAAGCATATGCACCTTGTATATGCACCTTGCCCTAACCTGCATATGCAGGTAGTGTTTTGAGCCCTGTTTAAAAGTTAGTGTCGTCTGGCAGACTCACATACCTGATGCGTGGCAGGGATGCCTGGCAGATGTGTACTCACAGTGCCAAGAAAGGGATTTATCAAATATTGCGTCAGTGTTATCTGCTTTTCAAGAGCCCCACTTGGCCATGTCATCATCTGTAAGTGAGTAAATAACAGGACGGTCTACACTAAGTGACCTATTGCAGTGCATATTTTGGATACGATTTTTACGCTTCTTGATGGTTGCTTTGACATCCAGGTAAACTGACAAATTTGGAATGATTCGGGAGAAAATTAGCCACAGTTTGAAGCTTTCTGAAAACTAGTGAAATATCTTGATCAGTTCTAATCAGTGTACATAATATTGTTAATATCATTATCTGTACCGCAAATTTTGCCCTGCTCCACTGTCAATGAAAAAGAGAGGCTGCTGTTTGAAACTAGACTGTCAAACTTGTTTGGCATGCAGAGAACTGAATGGCTCTCCTTGGAGTCCAGGGATAGCTGGATATTTAAATCCTACACATACAGCCCTAACCTGGGAATTGTGCCCATTAGACGAGAGCATTCCTCGGCTGGTGGTGGGCCCTCAGGACGTGGTGGTGAATAAGAATGATGACGCGCGGCTGGACTGTGTGTTCACCGCCGACCCTCCACCCACCATCCAGTGGTACTTCAACAACGAGGGGCCGCTCACCAACATGTCCAGGTAAGGTGATTCACACAGTCAGGTTATGGGTTTACAAGAATAACGCTTAACTAGAAGGACAACATGATAAGAAGGTGGTGGGCCTGACACTTGGAACACAGCTTCAAGAAACGAATGTAGTTAGATTCCTTTCAGACCTCTCTTCTATACCTAAAGTTACAAGCCCTGAACCAAGGAAATAAATTGTGAATTCAAATCACAGTAGTCCTCAGAATGGGTCATTAAGTCATGGTCCGCTGTTAAGTGTACATGTTTAAAAGAGCTAGTGGAATTTCCCTGGAACAATGAAATGAATGTAGTTAACTGAATATTGTGTATATATTATCTGTCTATCCTGCCATGACCAGTGGAAGATAAAGTATCAAGTGAGCCAAGCTGACGAGATGACTTTTTCTTTTTTTCCCCCTGTTCATGTACATTTTCCCCCTCCCTGTTCCCCAGGATCTACCAGGGGTGGAACGGGTCCCTCATCATCCGCAGGGTGAAGAAGAAGGACGAGGGTCAGTACGACTGTGTGGCGACCGGCAGTAACGGCAGGGGCACTCCTGTGGTGGCACAGGCAACCATCAGGCTCGCATGTAAGTATAGTAACAGCGAAATAGGATTTATAATACTTTTCAGACATGGTCACATTTCAGGCAACATAAGTAGAACTTGAAGTTGCACAGTGATACTTTCAGTAAAATGTGCAGTCATTCAGTTTTATGTATTGAGGGGGTGTACAAGTGTGCTTGGCTAAAATCACATCTAGGGCCCTGTCCCTCACATCTAGGGCTTTGTATTGGACTACCTGCCACAGAAAAAGTGTTGAACCCCGCTCGGTATCAGACGAAGATGGCTTTAGCCTTTTTTCAGTCTTTCAAACCTTTGTCATAAACAGTTTGTAGTCTGGTTGCCCCAGCATGCTGGCTAGCCCCTGTCCCAGACATGTGAAGTACTGTATATTGTATATACTTGCATTCCTGTTGACTTTGTTCTGTAACATGAGTTTACTCAACTGTTTGTTGCAACAACATTTCTTGAAAAGGTTTTCTTTACAGTACTAGTTAGTGATACATTTCATTGACAGGAGGTAGTTATACATTAACTTGTAAGGTCTTGTTGAAGGTGGTCTGTATTGGGGGTGGGGGGTCCAAATTACGCTTTTATGGGCTAATTTTAGGAAGGCTGTCTTACGCTAAATTCAGGTGCCACCTTCTTACGAACCTCATGGAAAAGTATTGTCTTGTATAAAGTTCATATTACTGTACTGTAAGAGGAATACGCTTTTTCTTTGAGATTCTAAACCCCATGTGTATTGTGTTAGACTAGCACAGTGATTAGCCAGTGTTACACAATCTGTTGCTGCCCAGTGGAAGGGCTGCTGGAAGTGTGATGCAGTCAGGCTAATTCAATGATTTGAAGCATGAAATTTCTGCAGCTACTGTTCTGCTACAGTAGCCTCACAGGGGGATCACTTTCAGTCACAACCTGCGCTGTGGGACTTATCAATTAGGCTCGGGCAGGAAACAGGAAGTACTACAGGGGCTACCTTACACCGGGAATGTGATTGAAATTCATGTTTGCATTAAATGTTTGCTGTGCGATCGTTGCATGTTACCTGGCAGCGGTGGAAGCAATGTTCAACAGGCAGGATTGACTAATCTGCCTGTGCTGCTTGGATAAACATGCTGGCAGAATGGGGTTAGTCTCCCCTGAAGGTTAAATTGGTGTCAAGGACCCTTCAGGTAATCCCAGGTAGATGATATGAAGGTGCGGAGCCTTTAGAGAGCTATTCTGACAGAGCTTTACTGGAAATATGAAGTCCCTTTGTTTAGACAGTTGTACCAGTGTTTGTTTTGTCTACACAAGCTTGCAGTGAAGCGTGACAGCCTGGGTTTCAACCAGTCAGGGGACCAAATGTTTGTCATGATAAAACAGCTACGTTTTCTTTCTTTCTCTTTTTTCTTTATTTCAATTAACTTAAGCAACATTGCAGACAAGCACCTGTCTAATTTGCACTGATATTACTATAATTTTACACAGCTGTACATAAAACAAAGCAAGACCATAACACTTATTTCATGATCTGGTTCTAGAAGTGGATGGTCCTTGGTTTGGGAATGGATATGTTGTTTTTTCCCCAGGTAGTAGTTACAGTATATATATATAGACATGTTTGATAGTCAGTGGGGGATAGTTTAATACATCAAAGAATGGAATCTCTCCCAATTAGCAGACAGGAATGAAGTTTTAATAGCTCCTGGAGACAGTCTTCCCTAGCAACATGACTCATGTCTGGTGCTAGATTACACATGTCTGAACTGTATGCTGCAACTGTGTCATAGACAGATCAATGCCTTTGTCATACATGTACATGATTATGTACTGACAATCTGGTACATTTGTACAGGTTTCACTGTAATTTTCTTCAACATTTGAACTTCACCAGATCTGCATTTGGTAACAATTCTTTCTTTCCCCCTCAGACCTTGGTCACCTGAACTCCCTGGATCCCTACATGGTTCCTGCTGGAGACAACCTGATCGCTCGCTGTGTGCCTCCGGACGGTCTGCCTGAGCCTCTCATCACATGGGAGAGGGACGGAGCACCTGTACCCAGCAGTGGAAGGGTCTACACCACAGGTCAGACGGCTGGATACTGTAAATCTTGACATGTTTGCGGCAGTTTATTTTCGGATTGACCTCTTTACCGCAAAATCGTGACAATGCGAATGTGTTTTTGTGATAGACTCAAATCTGAAGTGTCAAACGATAGAAAGATAAGAACCATTTTGTTGAATAAGGAGATAGATAAATTTAAAAGAAAAACACAGCTAAAAACCAAATCTATTAACGCTTGTATCCAGAAGTTCCTGATGTAGGGAAATGTCTTTCACACCTTCAGTAGGATAATTCTTTCAATCAGTGACTATTAATCCTAAGGTACATACCTCCGAATTTTCGATGACTAGTCAGTTCGTCTTGGTCACGGAATGATCCTAGTCTCGCAGGATAACGCGAGACTAGGACGAGACTTGCGTGGATCTTCTGCCCCCCTCTGCCTCCTTGCGGAGTAGAGGTAGGTAGGGCTTAGGCAGCTCCCAGCCTTCGTTGCGGTTTTTTCTTCTTTCACACCTTGTTTTGAAGTCTAACTGTTAACCCTTGCCCCACCAGGTGAGCAGCTGATCATCAACAGGACGCAGGTGTCAGACATGGGCAACTTCACCTGCGTGGCCTCCAACACTGCAGGCGAGGAGAGACAGAACATGATGGTGGTCGTTGCAAGTGAGTTACTTCTTCTGTACATTCCACAGACAAACAAACAGGATGGTAATATGGCATGAAAAAAGACAACATACCAGTACAATGCCTATAAAATATTTAATGTATTAACAGCAGTATCAATGGTATGTTGCAATTTTTATCCAGGCGTACCTGAAAAACAGGCCACAGCCTTGACCTGAATTGTACTCACCCAGCTTAACAACAAACTTTTCCTCCCCCAGCTCCACCTCAGTGGCTACAGAGACCAGAGGACACAGATGCAGATGAGGATGGCCACGCCTACCTTCACTGCCACACCCGTGCCACGCCCAACCCCTCCATATCCTGGCACAGGACCTCACTCAGAATAGACCCCGCAAAGGTACAGAGAGACATTCTCGTAGTACAGCAGATCTGGAACTATTCACAGAGGTTTTATTTCTGCAGTGACCTCGAGAGTGAAATCATGCATCTCCATTGTATTACTGTTATACCTCAGGAGTAAAGGACCGCACCTCCTTTCCTCTTTTCCCCACCAAAGTCAGTCCCCGCAGAAATGAATGAATATACAGTAGTTGGTGTGGGGGACCTGTCAAGATAATGTTAGTTGTTACACGTATTGTTTACTCTGATGTCGACCTGGATCCATGTACAACACAGATTGAACTACAGTGTTTGTTTGTTTATTTGACAGGACAACAGGTACGAGGTGTTCAGTAACGGCACCCTACACATCAGCCCGGTGCGTGTGCTGGATGAAGGAGACTACTACTGCGCCTCGCAGACTCTGGCCGGCAGCATCGAGGGACAGCTCTTCCTCAATGTCATAGGTCAGGAAGCATGTTCAACAATCTAGTGCCGTCAAACCTGTACAACCTTTACATTAGGACATTTACATCAGTTATCAATCATCAAAACACACTTTAGAATAAAATTCTGTATCCATTTCATCTCACTTTGATATTGTCTAACATATATTCATGCCTGTCGTCCATTATTTACAGAAAAGTTGAAGTTTTCCCCCTCGCCCGTCCCACGGACCCTGGAGCTGGGAGACACCGTTGCCATCCGCTGTAACGCCAAGGGGGAGTACCCCCCGACCATCCAGTGGCTGAAGCACAACGTGGCGTCGTCCGCCTGGCCTGCCTACGTACAGGAGGCCAACGGGACCCTGCAGTTTAACGGTGTACAGAAGGAGGATGCAGGGCTGTACACGTGTATCGCCTCCAGTCCACAGCAGGGGCTGATCAATGCTACCATCAAGCTGACAGTGTTTGGTAAGAACTGCTTGGGATGAACTCCAGTAACATTTATATGACGTTCATCTATTTGATTTCATTCCTCCATTTTTCTAATGTTGTCCAGACGGAATTGTGAGGTAATAACTTGTATTCCATCAGTCTTGCACTGTGACATGGATTTCTTGTTACAGTAGATGCTAACTCCTTTGTTCACCTTTCCCACAGTGAAGCCCCATTTCACAGTGACCCCCAATGACACCACAGTTGGGGAGGGTTCCCAGGTCCTGCTGCACTGTCAGGCTGAAGGGGATCCCGAGCCCATCATCACATGGACAGGAACTGACAGCAAGGTGACCACAACTTTCTTCTCTCATATACACCTGACCTGAAACAGTCCTTCCATTGAGATAAAGTATGTGTGTATTTTGTTTGTCATATTAATCATTACCAGATTAAATGCTCATCAATGAAAGAAATGAAATGAAATGGTGACTTCAATCCATACTTCATAAAATCTATTTTCCCATCAGAGTTTCGAAGGTATGATTTTTATGTTGTACGTAATTTTACGTTACCTGATCCAGTATGGAAAGTATTTCCAGCCCAATGATGTTGTTTCTGAGTGCACTCATATATCCCCTGTCGTTTGTTGTGACATCAGGTGTACACAGAGAAAAGCTGTGAGGAGGAGGGAACACGGTTCTGTGTGTTACCCAACGGAACCCTGCGGATCGTGAAGGCAGAGCCAGAGGACCAGGGGAAGTACACCTGCATCGCTGGCAACGTCGGCTGGCTCACCCGCGAGGAGGTCAACGTCGTCATTAACAGTGAGTCTGGAGATTACTTCATTCAGAGGTCTTCACATTCTTGACGCACAGAAACAACATGTTTGTAACATAAGGCTGTTTGGGAACCAACATTTTTGAGTTAAGTGGTTAGCATGTTTAAGCTTGTCATTGTGATGGCTGGTTCAAAAAAATAGCCCCTAAGCCATTGAAGATGTCTCTACTGTATTTGATGACAACAGGTTCTATTCTTTGTTTGTGGAAATACTTAGCTTTTGGGTTGAGGAAGAGTCTGAGATAAGATAATAACTCACTGTACAGTATATAACAGAGTGCTGTGTTGTTTAGATGGGGCGGTTAGTGGCGTGGGTGCTGATCCTGCCATGCTGAAGACCATCGGTATCGCCTGCGGGTGTGCGGCAGCCTACATCATCCTGGTGCTGGGCCTGATGTTCTACTGTCGCCGCCGTAAGCCCAGCGACAAGTACGAGGAGGAGGAGGGCACCAAGGAGGAGGCGGACAAGCTGAACGGGGCGGTGGCTAAGGAGGAGAACGGGATCCACTATGCTGACACCATGCTGAAGGTGGGAGGAGAAGGGTGTTCAGGGTTCTCACCAGAGGTTTTTCACACCATAGATGTTAGGGGCAGAAGGCCAACTTTGCACGGTGCAAGCTGCATGTCGAGTGCCAAAGACATGACCCCACAAAATAATCCTTAAGTGTATTTTACTAGAATTTTATTATAGCTGTGGAATAATGCTGTATGCTCTTATTCTTCCCTCCTTGAAAACACACATTGAGGGTTTAGTGATACAGCTAGAGGAATGGTTTTGGTTTGAAGCTGGACACTGCAATGTCACAGTGAACTGCTTTGCTACAAAACTACAATCTACTTAATACTAGTGAAACAAGCTAGGCAATTTCCCCAGTACAATGAACTTAGCTCATCTGAACATTTGTCTTGTCCATAGGTTGACAATGCCATCCCGTTGAACATGGTGAACAGCAGCTATGGGAAGAGGAGAGGGAGCTACGACAAGCTGCAGTTCCCCAGACATGACCTGCAGTCCCTCGGGCTTCTCGGTCAGTTCTACAGTCGTTTAACTTTACATGGCTCCAGTCCGTGCCCTTCACTAAATTATCTTTTCTGCCTTTTTTTAATCTTCTAAATTTATTTTTATTGAGTGCTTGTGTAACAGTCACTACAAAATGTCATTATAACCAGAAAAAGAATAAGAAGGAGTAATAACTAAAAGAACTAAGAGTTATCAGTGCAGGAGATAAACAGTTAATTTTTCCTAGAACTATTTTAAAGTGGAACACAAAGTACATGATGGCAGGTTTATGTGTAAATTGTAGGTGTCACAGGTTGAGCTAATGTCATGCTGAGAAGCTGGTGTGTTTCAGTGGAAGAGTGGTTATACCAGCCATACAGAATAAATTTTGACTGCTGGCATTTGCTCCCCAGGGCGTGGAGAGTTTGGTGAGGTGTTCCTGGCGAAGGCTCAGGGGATCCGGGACGGGGAGGAGGAGACCATCGTGGTGGTCAAGTCCCTCTCCACGCGCGACGAGAACCTGCAGTTCGACTTCCGCCGCGAGATGGACATGCTCAGCAAGATGAACCACGACAACGTGGTGCGCCTGCTGGGGGTCTGTAAGGAGGCCGAGCCCGTCTGTCTCATCACGGAGTACATGGAATGGGTAAGGCACAGGAAGAAATGTCCTTGTATTCATTTAGACTATGGGTCCAGTCATGTTCATCATGCAATAGGTCTACAACAGAAAACTGAGAGCAATTCAGACAGGCATGTGTACAAAACATGATTTACATCACTCTGAATTTACCCAAAGTTATCTTAACACATTAAGCAGTACAATTCTAAGACATCAGTGTTCATTGGATGTATTTTTCCCTCCAGGGTGACCTGAAACAGTTCCTGATGGCGACCCGGCATGAGAATGGCAAGAAGAAGGCGTCCCTCCCTCCGCTCAGCCTCATACAGAAGATCCACATCGCCAACCAGATCGTGCTGGGGATGGAGCACCTGTCCAACCACCGCTTCATTCACAAGGACCTGGCCGGCAGGAACTGTCTCCTCAACCCCCACCTGGACATCAAGATCTCCACGCTAAGCCTGTCCCGGGACGTGTACGCCACAGAGTACTACCACTACCACCAGCAGTACATCCCGCTCAGGTGGATGCCGGCTGAGGCCGTGTTCGAGGACGATTGGTCGACGAAGAGCGACGTGTACGCGTTCGGGATAACCATGTGGGAGATTTTCAACCTGGGGTGTTTGCCCTTCAAGGAACTAGACGATGAGGACGTGATGAAGGGACTGACTCTAGGAGAGCTGGAGCCTGAGGTACCTCCCTACTGTCCTAAGGAAGTGTTCGCGGTGATGCAGAAGTGTTGGGCGGAGAGCCCCAAGGACAGACCCACCTTCAGCGACCTGGCTGTCGCTCTCTCAGAACTGGAGGTGGACAGTGATGTGTGATGTCCAGAGGAAGTTAAGGCGTTGTAACAAGGGGATTGGTTGTAGATGCAAACAAAAATTCTGATGTACGTGTAACAAAAATAACAGTTACATTATTTGATGCTGTCAACACTTACTGTTCAAATAAAAGTAATGTACAGGCCTGCCTTACGTAGATATTGGTCATATTGGCCATTACAATTACTTTGGTTGAGGAAGTTTTTAGGTCAAGTTTTTAAATTTTAATGTACAGTTTTGTTGACAGCATCAGATTGTGCCAAAGTGTATCAATATGTAAGAAATTACCTGATGTTGCTATAGTTACATCCCTTTGTCAGACACAATTGAGAATGTTGTTGTTGAAGTATGTTGGCTAAATTTTATCATGAATTGTTGGTGTAGGTCTTCGGACGAAAACCAAGGAAGCAACTTTCTCCGGAGGGAATTATATGAAGTGCCTTGGCATAGGGTAACCTTTTATCATCGACAAAAGTGATGAGAAGGAAGATTGTTTTTTTTTTCAACAATCTTGGACGCGGGTTGCTGTTCAGCCACTTTTCTATGAGTAATCCCTCAGGAAGTACCGATAGCTGCCAACATATACAAACACAACATTGTGTAGTTATTTGTTGCCAGACAGTGGAAAGCAGTCCCTGTAGGATTTCCTCCTTACTGTGGGCTTGTTAGTTTGCTCACCAAATGTGTACCAGTTACATTATCACAGGGTAAGCCAGTGGGGAGATGCTGAAATGAGCTTTTGGCCTTCTATATTTGAAGCAGTTTAAGACATAAATGTGAAAAAAGTTGTTGACCACATCTTCCAAACCAACAACTGCCGAGAAACTTCAGCAAAACCTGGTGTGTTCATGGAACAGTGGTGGAAAGACTTGTGGTAGGAAGTTGCAAGCCCCTTGAAAGTAACAAAGTAGAACACAGATGTAGTTCAAAACTGACTTCTGCAATAGACTGTTGTATACCTCAACTGGGGTGAGCCTTCGTCACCAAGGGACCACTATTTGTCATTTTATCATGTGTCATTTTATTCTATTGTGCCAAAGTGGAAAGGCTTTCTTCCATGGTGCTAGAAATTTGAGTAGAGTGCATAAAAGGATGAAAGAGAAAACAGATAAATAAGTAACTGTAACGTAAATTAACAAATAAGGACCAAGATTGTGTATTAAAGTGGTCAAAGGTGTATAGGACGTGGGCACCTTGTTTACGTTTATGTGATCCTTGCTGGTCACCATATTTAACTGACTAGCATTTTATCATGTGAAGTCCTCCATTAATATAAGCAGTGGGGTCACACTGTAGTTGCCTATTGATTTTTTAAGTAAATATTGGATGCTTGATAAATAAATGATGTAAGGACATTGGTGTCTTTACAGATTTCCATGCTTTTGTAAATATAAGCTGTGGATATGGGTAGAATTATGTACCAATGCAGACATATGCTGTTAATTTTGAGTCAAGCAAGGTTTCCTTTTTTTTTTTAATCTTTGCTTTTTTAGTATACATCCTTAATGTTATGAAGGTCTGCCAAGGGTGGCTCCTTTGTTAGCCCTTACAAGTATGTTTCTGATGACTGTCATCTGGATTAGGGCAGGTCACATTTGTTTTAAAACAGGTTTGCATTCTTCGCACAGCCGTGGATGGTATCCTTCAAAATTCAGCTGTCTTGTTACAGGAATGATTGCCGTAGATCCTTGTCATTGTCAATGATCACATGGACTCGCTGAAAATCCAAACACCAAAAACAATGTTGTATGACAAATGTGACTGACAAGAAGATGTGAAAGGAACATCTTAAAGGTAAAAGAAACAGGTCTGGGAATTGTTGCCATGCTGCTGTTGCTATGTTCAACTTCTCAAACAAAGTGCCCGTCACTAAACAGCGGTGACATTTGTGAACTTTCGGCAGGACTCTGACCAAATTCTCTGCCATCCTTTAACCAAAACACTATTGGCCTGTCTCAGCCATTGGCTTACAGAACTTTTCTCATGGTTTTGATTGACAGAACATTTGCTAGTAGCATTCATTTTTTGGCATTGTTCTGATCGTTGCTGAAGACAAGTTTGTATGAGATGTAGCATTTGTTGAAGTCAAGAACAACGATGTAAAGAAGTTTTGATGGCACCATTTGAGTTTCAAATGTTTTTTAATAATTTGAAATCAGTGTTTCTATTGAGACACTCCATTCTGTACATAATTGTATTTTGTTGCTATTATCATGGCTATGTTGTAAATATTGTAGGTGTCCTGTGAGAAGGCAGAGTATTTCCTGACTTACATGTAGTAGTGTGAGTACTATGCAAAAGTGGTATCAAAAAGAATTAGATCATGACTGTTCCCTTTTTATTTGCGGTCAGTTTCTAAATTTCAGGGGTATCCTGCCTTTTAACATGTGTCATCTGATAAGTCTTTTTAATGTATTATGGTATTCTTACTTCTGTCATAATGTAAACTGTCACAGAGATGAGACTTTAAAAGATTGTTGTTGAGATTCCAAACTTTTGCGGTCTATCCAACTTTAAAGAGACCAGTCTCTAACAACATTTTGGAACACACTATGTACTCATGAGTTACCCAATTGGATTTGTACAGTCTTGTTCATATTTTTTTTCGTTAATGATGTTGTCCAGATTTGATGGACCTTGGAGTTAGTGAATTCTCAATCATCCTGGTGCAAGTTGTAGAGAATATTTACTTTAACGAATACCTAAACACATGAAGGAGTCAGTCTTGTCCCCTTTTGTATCTCATAGTAAGATGTCTTACCCTTATTACCGTTGTCCTATACATATGTGTATACATAGTAGCCTATTCTTGTTCTCTTTGTACAGACCTTCACGAGATGTACAGTTGTCCATTACTGAGATCATGAAAGATGCGAGTGGGGCAACCAAATTTTATTCAAAATGTATGTGCGCAGGTTTTTACAGAAGTATTTTTGTGTAATTTATTAGTGCATACTGTTGTAATGCTAAGTAAGTACAACATTTAGTGGCAATAGGAAAAAGCGGAGACAATCGTTAGAAGAGAGTTTTGTAAGGATGATGCAGGTCTGATGTTTTTGTCAGGACCCATTTTTGATCAGTAGCAAGAGAGCTGAATACAGCCAGCAGTGGAATTACTAGAGAGCGTTGACATTTTGTATTAGGAACCATTTGTATGGATGGCAATAAAGTGGCTGTGCCTTACATTTGTACAGTTTATCATGACTTTCTTCATGTCTTTTTCTTTTAAATAGCAAAGTAGTGGTACAAATAAATAATCAGATCCTGGATACACTACCATGACCACTGTATAGAGGAGTTCCATATAGTGTTTCGTACATACATGTATGCACACTCTAGATTTCCACTCTTTTGTCACAGGCCCAATTTCAAAAGGACAGGCTGCACCAACAAAAATCAGGCCAATGAGAGATCGTTGAACAACCGTTGATACTAGTAGCTCTCAAACTTTTGGCTGCTCCTCGGTCTTTCAATGGTCTTGTATCTGAGTGAACAACCCAAATACTAGGTGATGTTTTCATCTCAAGTTCTGCTGTTCAGTGTCGGCGACTGTGTCCAGTTCCGACAGGAACTTCCTGCACTTCCCCATCAGCACCTTGATGGCCTCACACACCAGAACGTCTGGAGGCAGTGCTCCTGTAGACTCCACTGAGACTGGGGACAGAAACAACACTTTTAACAATAAGGCTACTACTAGATAACAGCAAACAATTTTACCCCATTTCTCTCAAATACAAAATGTACACAATGTTTTATTCCATTTACCACATGCTTACCTGCCCTGACCCTTATTAGTTCTAAATTGGTAAATACATGTATAAGGAGAACGAGGCACTGAGGCAACTCACATATAAAATGATCACGTATTTTGTTCAGCTTCACACAGTCCTTCAGGTCCTGAAACAGTCCCAGGTGTCACATGTTAATTCAAACATATGCTAGCCAAATGTTTTACATAATTATATGTACATGTACAACCACTTTTAAAACTATTTCCCAGAATGGCAAAACAACATGCATGATTATTCCTATTCTTTATGATTATACTGTGTATTGAAAATCTAATTGCATAGATCACAGTAAGTTCTGCTACAAGTGTTCAGTGGGGAAAAAGATACACAAGTCATGATAAAATGAACCTTGACAATAAAAGTTGTTTCCTACCGGATGTCTGAAGACTTCTCTGCTGCAGGTGTCTAACCTGGAGTTCATGACTCTGGCTCTCCTCACACCTACAGAGTCAAATACATTTTTGTACATCAAATAAAAATGCGGCTAGAATGTTGACCTACACATATTGGCAAAGCCCAACACTGCCACCTTTGCCACATTGTGTACATGTGTACTAAAAACAGGTTTAGTCTATAAGTATAATCGAGTAAGTTACAGTGCTAGCAAGACTAAACACACACTAACTAACTTTGACCAGACAAGCGAGCGTTTGTACCGTTTTCCTCCGTGACCTCCATGACCCCTGGGCTGAAGCACCTGACCAGTCTGTCTGCCTTCTCCCCCTCCACCTGTTCTGTCAGGACGATCTCTGGTAACAGGCGGTAGGAGGCAGTGGCTGGAGGGACAGAGGCTTCAGATTAACACATCATGGCTCCTGCAGTACTGTTTATTGAACAGTCAAACCATACAGCCGCACCACACCATGTACAAATCCAAGATGTGATTGTGGCGATGCTCCCTTCTGGTACGGTGGTCTTTAGAGCGTCGTCCACAAAAGATTAGTCGGAAAGTTGTAGTTGTTAGTGTGGTTTTATTCCCAGTCAACGGAGTTACACAAAGTATGAGCCTCTCTCGCTCCGCTCAAGAGAAGACTCCCCTGGCCACAGCCAGGCGGAGACTCTCCAAGAGAAGACTGACTCAAGAAAGCATCTATCTCTCTGATGACAACTCTGTTTTACCTTGAACTAAATTAAGGGACTTGTTTACTACTTTTTAAATGAATGGACTTCTTATAACTGAACTTGAAGTTGTCCCTAAATCTGTGTTATGTGGCCTAGAAGAAGGGACTATTACCATATTTAGTTATGTTTTACGGTCCTACCTTACGTAACCTCAGTATACGTGTAACCTCAGTGTTCCACCCATTAACCCTTAAATTCTTGTACTGTCCTTAGATGTCCTTACAGTGTAAACAGTGTCCTTGAATGGTGGATGACCTTGAATGTCCTCATGTCCTCAGTGATGAAATTATATTGATTAAATATAGATATTAAATTAACCGTTACTTCATCTACTCCATCTACTACGTGACATGATGTCAGCCATGATCAGGTAAAATTTTCTCCAAGACACAAGACAGGAGTGTATCTTACCAACTGGTGAGAACTTGGCATGGTCACGACCTATACCCTTCACACAGTGCAACTTCAGGTCCATCTCCTACAAAAGAAACGTACAAGGTTTTTGATTGTTTGAAAGGTTAACCCTTCTGGTATGTTGACTTGTTGGCACCTGTGGCTCTGAAAATCCAAGACCAAAGAAATAAATTGGCGTGCCTAAGAAATGTTTTTATACCTGTCCTGGTCTGAGTTTGGCAATCAGAATGTCATCATGCACAGGTTTGATGTCACCTTCACTGTACTGGAGTAGAACAGAAATATGGTTAAAGATATCCATTAAAATCTGTCCTAGACACAGTACAGTACAATTTATTAAATGACTACAGTAACAACTGAAATGTGAAGATTTTGTGCACCAGGAACCATCATACTTACCAGTTCAGCCTGGTTGCCCAGTGGAACCCACTTTAGATGTTTCGTATAGACTGGGAAACAAAATATAATTTGGTAATGAGTTAACAGTCTCCTCTTAGTTTGTGATGTACATGTATCTAAAACTTGAAACATGATAATACAACATAATACAACTTGGGAAATATGACAGTATATCTCAAATTTCAAATCATCATCTCCGTAGTATACTGTCCATGCTCTGATGTGAAAGTCAGATTACATAGGAATATTGTAAGTACAGAAAGTACACACATAAAATGCTGCTCCTGAAGACAGTGGTATTCATGCAATTTTTTGTGATCACTTTAACTTAAGTACTGACTTTAATTTTTCAGGCTCTTATTAAAGTAATACTAATACATATTGCTGTGTAGGGAAAACTGGATTACATCACCACCAAAGCATGCCCATGCCATGTGCACTAACACAGACATGTCTGAAATGTCTACAGCAAGATCAGCTGACATCCACAAGTTGGCTCTAATCCACACCCTTACCCCTCACACGGCAATGTCAATCAAACAAGTCACATGAATTATGTTAAACTAACACTGATCCCCAGCAGACAAGCACTGAATGGTACCAAAAACCTGCAGAATTGGCCTCATCTACTCCACATGACACCCTACAATTATTTACACAAAACTGCTTTGTAACAGCTAAAATCAGCAGTTCCACAGGTAGAAAATCATCCCATCATAAGCTTGTTGTTATAGAGTCCCACAAAGTGAGTGCGGAGAGTTTTCCTGTGGTATATAACAGTGCAGAGTGTGGTAGGGACAGCGGGAAGGTCCGGAGGCTGTGGGGCGGCACTTCTCAGACCCGAGGGTGGTGATAGAGGCTTCAAAACAGTTGGTTCAAACTAGGAAAGTGAAATTCAGGGGCTGTCTATCCTCCCACCCACAGCCACGTCTTGACCTTTCTTTTTTTCAACCCAAGACATTTTTTTTTCAAAATAGGATCTTAATTTTTCCTTGTACATTTGTGTCTCTTTATCTCATTAAAATCTATCTATTAAGTTAATCTTTTCACAAAGTTCATCTAGACCTTTTTCTAAATTTGAACATGTGATATCCTTTGCTTCAAAATCTTATCTTGAAGTTAGCAGTTAGGCCACACCAATTTAATTTCTTGGTTAACGGATTTTTCTAGAAAAATAATGGAGCGGGCGGGCGAAAAAAAAAAAATAAAAACAGGCCTAGGCATCGTATTATGGCCCAAAATGGTACGATAGGAGCCGCGAAGTCAACACACCAGGCTGGTTCAAACTTTAAACAATGAATTTTGAACTTTTAATGATACCATTGCATTGAAAGATGGAATAACTGTAACAACTAGAATGAAAAGGTCTGTTTTCAAGTGTTCAGGGCAAAATATGAGCATTTTGCAGTTGATTATGGATTTTTATTTTTATTTGCAAATCTGAAAAAAATGAAGCGGCGAATCCGTTAACCAAGAAATTAAATTGGTATGGCCTTAGGCAGGAACATCTACTTTTGCAGAAAGTTCTTTGCTATTGCAGATTTAATTTTACAACTACCATTATTACAAGGTTTTGTGTCCTACAACAGCTAATCAGGCCCCCTCCCAAAGGCCTAACCAGTGGAAGGGCTGCTAGAAACTTGATAAAAGTCAGGCTATGCAATGGTCATGCTGCCACTGAGTTCACAATCATATAACATACCTTTGTGGTCTTTGTAAATCTCATCTGGATCAGTGGAGTCCTTTGGTGCCTGGGGGTTCCTGGTGCACTTGACGTTCAGATGGAACTCTATTGTGTCCTCAGCTGTCCCCTCCTCATCACCTGTCAATGTGCAGAAATATCATGAAGGGAAGAGAGAAAAATGAAGACACAACATCTAGACTTCTAAAAATTACTCAAAAACATAGAACTGGACCCCACATCTGCTTGCTTATCAGTCCAGATTAGACACTTCAGTATCATAATCTTCAAGCAGATGCTGGAAGGAAAACTGATGTGTGTTTTCCTACCAGTAACAAACTGCTTTCAAAACAACCCAATGATCTAGGACTTCAAGAGCGAATTTCTACCTCATCAGAATAGGGAAACAGTTAGAGAAATGGGGAGCTAGGGAAATGTAACGATTTTGTCTCCCAACATCTGTTTAGAGATCAGAGTATCCCACCTTCCTGTCTGTACTCGAACAGCCTGGGGTCGGCGTGGATGGGGATGAGGCCCAGCCGATGAGCTAACACCTCATCCTGGATGATGGACGTGTTGTTGTGTACAAACACCTTCTCTATGGCCATGGTGGGGACCTGAACAGTGGCAATGATTGGATCGGTACAGGAGTTAGGACCTGCACAATGGTGTTGATCAGAGGGTTTACAGAAAAGCTAGGCTGTCTGCTCACTTGGCCTGGTAGCCTAGCCAGCTGTCATGAATGGTAGACAGCCTAGCTTTTTCTGTAAACCCTTCATCAGTTGAGCGTGCTATAGCGACAAGGAAAATAAGCTCCTTGTTTGAACAGAAATCTCTCTGAAAATAGGGTTAGGGTTAGATCTTTAGTATCATTAATGCCCTCATTTAACCTATCTCAACAGAAACAGGTGTCATATCATCAGGTTTTTACTGCACCTCAGCCAGTAGGATCCTCCTGAAGGCGTTTGCGATGGAGGCGTCCACACCAACCATGTCAAACTCAAGCTCCGAACCCTCCAAAGACACAATGTTCACTCGGAACTTCTGTAGAACAGCCATTTTAATGTATCTATTAGTAACATTGAACTGACATTATGTAAGTTACAGATATCAAATTACACTTAGTTATTCCCCCATTGAACCAGATGCTTTGGGCTGGTAAATTATTAATGTACGTTTTATTTATTAATATGTTTCATCAACTTTTACAACAAGTGAACGATAGTTGCGTATAATGCAAACTCACATGCAGTTCAACTATAAATGACCACTGATCTTCATGGTATACATCATCATATTTTGCTTCATACTAATCATAGTATCAATTTTTTATAAGGCAGCCACTGTGCAGTGGGTGCGGCTGGGTGGTGTTCTGGTGTATGCTGACTCTAGTTTGGCACAGTTGTGTGTTTGACCGTTAGTTCTGTGTAAGCAGGTCGACTATAGCCACGTTGCTTCGTCAAGACTTCTTAGAAACAGTCTGGATACTCACCTCCTCGAACTTGGCCAGGCTCCATGTGTCGTCATACCCGGCATAGTTCCCAGGAAAGTCCGTGCTGTGCGTCTATTAAAGCAAAACACGACATCATGTTAAGTTCACGAAAAAAAGAATGAAGTCTGTAGAATGATGTAAAAGTGTTGCGGAGCATGTATATCGCATCTTACGTTGATAACTTCGTGCTCTGTCAACGTCACACGTGTTCTGATCTGCTCCAGGTCTGCCATCTTGGAAGATTACACTTCGACTCCGGGGGTGGGAAGGCAGACCTAGTCGAACAGTTAGGCATCTTTTTGAGTTGTTGCAAAATAGTACAAATTGGCTAAGTATGCCGGCTATTTAAAGGAGTTACGCGGAAATATAACATACATGCTCATATGTGAATAAATCATAGACACGTAAAGTGTCCATACGTACGTGTAGAAATTTATGCTTTCCAAGTACCACAAAGTTCATCCTGAGATCATTAAAATAGCTCCCCGCATGCGGCCAGTGCTCTCGAGGTCTTGGATTTCGCTGCATCAGCTGGATGTTTTGCTGCGAAAGGAACTAGAAACCTTCAATAAGGCCGTAAATTAACTTCAAAACGTCCAGATTGAGTACAAATGACAGTAAAAGACGTAAGTAGCTAGTCCCGTTATTCGAAACAGGTGTCAGGACTTGAACACAGTTCAAAACTTGTCTCAGTAAGTTCCGCCTTGGCCATCAGGAAAGCAAGCGGATGTCGTAGGGGTCCTCCTTATAAAGTTGTTGCTGACTTAAACGGCATTTTCAAGCTCAACTGCAAACCCATCCGACAGATCATACACTGTTGTGCTGCGTGAAACGTTTCCGACACTGCGGCCTGAAGAAGTGCAACACCTGGTTCTCACCATGAAGGCACTGGTTATCTTGTTCCTCGGTCTCATCGTCTGTGCCCAAGGTAAGAGGCTGGATTAATTGTTTTTCACCAAATTAAAAATCATTCAAGACGAAAAATACCCTACATGAAACGTGTAACGTTTTTACAATTAAAGACGGGAATGTTCCTGGACTAGACGTCACGTTTTCCGTCTATTCCGTTTTCTGATACACGACAATTCAGACTTAGAGTCCGCAAGAAGGTGTATGAATAAAGTTTCAAAGAGTCAAAAGTTTCAAAGAGTATTGATCTGCAGCTGACATGACATGTTTGGAAAAAAATTGACTTTTGACTTTATTTTCTTTTAGCCATGGAGATTTCACGGGCTAAGCGCCGAGGTAAGTCCCATTCCGTAACTTTTGTGTTATGACTTTGCGTTGAAGAAAGTTCTGTGAATATATTCTACGCCACAATTCTTGATGGCTGTGCATGTGTAAGACAGTAAAACAAGCAGAGAAATTATATTGAGTCAGGATAAAGCATAATATTATAAGGTGAAAGATCGTAAGTTTCCGTCCTGGCACGGCTGCCTGGCGTCTCGGCAGTCAAAAAACGTTAGGATATTCCACTCCGACAGTCTATAATAGTTCATAGGCCTGGATCACACATGATTGATGGCTAACTTTTCTCATTTTTGTGGCATACTGTATACAGTAGTAGGGTGTAGTCGACCTGTACTCTGCTACGTGGACCCCTGTATGACCGCGGACTGTCCTGGAGAGTGCATGCAGGTGAGTGCGGTTCTTCACCATCATTTACTTCACTCAATAAGTACACGAAATGAATGGATTGAAAGTGTTGCTGCATACCCGCGGTGTTGTTTCTCTTGCCCCCTTCACACGGGTTGCTACCAACCGGCCTTCCTGAGAGATATGCTATTTAACGCCGAAAGTCGTAGTTAGCATGTCAGAAATTTCTAGTACAGGGAAGTGCAAGTTGAGACTTCAATCCAGTAACCTCTATGGTTATATTTTGTCGGACCGTCTCGGACTGTTACCTCTATCCTCATGACTTCAATGAAAACCGTGGACCAGTCCGATTTCACGAATAAACAAAGCTCACAAAGGGCATTCACCACATACAAATTTCTCCTGTCAAATGTCCATCAGACCCACCTGTGACTGTCGGGCGGAGTGTGGAAGTGGGGGCGGACTGTTTCGCCGTCTGTTAGACTGAAGTGGTGGACTCTTGTAACCTGCTTGACAAGGTAATCAGCTTTAACACACTACTCGTGGCTAATCAAGGTTTGAAATTCATTACTTTGCTCAATTCCTTCTTTTTTTTTTCTGTTGGATAAACCACGGTCTGTTACTGATTTGCATTAATTTTTTCCAGAATCGTCCAATCCGCTGGCAACTGTGAAGAAAGATAGCATAAATTTCGTAGCAGAAATGAAATGCTTGTCAAGCCTCAAGGCCATATTATTGTTAGACTCGTAACTTGAATTGTAAAGATACATCTTGAACCTTGCTTTCACAATATATATCACACCTGGAGTACAAAGCATGTGGAAGAATGTCTTTATTTTCCAGTCTTGTTCCAAAAATTGATTGGGTTGAATAAAAACTGTTACAAACATGGTTACACCATTCTTTGTTGCATTCCCTCAGCTGTGAAGACTGATACACATTCAATGTTGATAAATGACAAAAAGTTTTCCCTCTCAATCAGTACCACAAAGAAGGTTCTTATAGGAAAATACACTGTCTTTAAAATCATGTACATTATTCATCCTGGGCTTCTGGTGGAAAGCATGACTGACTGAGAACTGACGACCCAAGAGTGACAATTTGGTTAATTCATTGATTGAAGATAAGGTTGTAGTACAACTGAGTGATGATCCAGGCTCATTAAACACAGTGTGAGATTGCACATCATTGAAACACATATCAACTCACCTAACCAGACCAGGCATAGTGGCAGTTTGGATTAATATCATGAAAAATGTGATGCCAAATGGTCCAAACATACCAGGATTTCACTGTAAAGTATAAGCTCTGTCTTGCCTGCAAAAGGGAGAGCATAAAAAGTCAAGCAAACTAGTAATAGCCAACCATAAGTTTGTGATACACCATTAAACTAAGGATGCATTCACTTTGGCAAATGCCCATTGTGTGCACCAAGGGTATTGTGCACATTGTTCCTAGATGGAATACTAGTAATCATTTTTGGTTTGGACCCAACTCTGACCGGGGAAAACTTGACCAAAAAGGATTGTAAGCTTGGTCTTAGGTTACAATCTGAAGTGACTGCTGAAAGTTTATCTGAAAGTCATGAGTAGTACAGACAGGACAAAGATATGAGACTGATGATGTACTGTATCTGAATTTTTTGTACACAAAGCCTTAAGGGAAAAGGCTGCAAGATTCATTTACCACCCAAACATATATTCCATTGCTTTGTAAACCATGTTGCCATTCTTCTGTGGTGTTTTCGAGTCATTTACAACTTCATGTTCATTGCTTGCTGCCTTGTATGCAGCAGTGAGTGGCCTGATGGGGGTATGCCTCGATACGGCTCCCTCGGACTGGTGCCTGGGTCTTATCGGAGTGAACACAGCGCTGCTACTGCTGGATTCTGTGCTTGGTTCAACTGTCTGTTCCATGACACTCTTGTCTATACACAGTGTCACACCGACCATGATGCTTCCACCAAACACCTTCCCGTTCTTACTCAGGGCCTTCTTGGCTTGCATCTTGGACTGGTAGTGCAGGTGCAGCCAGTTGCCGTTGGAGGCTATCACGTGTTTAACAATGTTTCCGTACTGCGAGAACTGCTGTAAGATGAAGGACGTCGCGGCAGGCGGGAACCCGAACACCGTCACCCACGTCTCGTCCAGCTGGTCCTCGGCAGTCAGAGCCTCCCCCTGGGTGTAGAATGGGTCGGTCTGGGCCGGGGATGGAGGGCTGGGTTTCTGGACATTCTGAACTCTGGGAGTAGGTCCTGGGCTGAAGAGCACCCCTCCTGAAGGAGTGGTATGTGCCACACCTGTAAGTACTGGTGTCCTGCTGACTGAGAATTCCAGCTGCTGTCTTTCTGGGGTACCTGGATAATGAAACCATTATAAGGTTTAAGTGATCAGGACATCAAACAATGATTAAAATGGACAGAAACTCACAGTTGATTGACTATAAGCCACAAGTATATATGTGAAGTACATGTACATAAATCACCTCTGAAGACAGCCCCAGTTGGGGTGCTGGTATGACTGAACAGCCCCTGGACAGGCGGAGCCCCTGACTTGTCCTTGGACACGCTGTGGAGTGTCGTCCCTTTCCCTTCCAGTCGGTCTGACCGAGGGGTCAGGTGGGTGTGTCCAGACCCGGGGGTGCTGCCAGACTGGATACTCATGGACCGGCCCAGCCCGCTGCCTGGTCCAAGGGAGGATGGGGTGCTGACCGACTGCTGCCTGCTGAAACTGGAGCTCTGGGGGAACAGTAAATAGTATCTGTATCTGTATAGCCGGTATAACCGCCCTTCGGCGTAAAAAAAATAGTAACACACCAGCTGTGTTGCTGATTAATATAACGAATATTATAATGCCACGTAGGCCCTATAATAGTCTTATATCATTGTATGGTAGATTTTGAAGCAGCTGCAGCTTTCAGTATATAAAAGTTACTGGGCTCGAAATTATTTTTTCTCTGCGAGTCATAACACCAAAAGCCCATGTTCATCATGCTCTTGACACCTGAATAAAATTTCAACGTCAACTTTTACAATACATCATTATACATAATATGCAAATTTATCATTATACATAATGATGTATTGTAAAAGTTGACGTTGAACCTGAATAAAATTTCAACGTCAACTTTTACAATACATCATTATACATAATATGCAAATTTATCATTATACATAATGATGTATTGTAAAAGTTGACGTTGAAATGTGTCATGAGCATAATTTTATCATCATCATCAAAGTACATCTGATTCCGCTTTTTCGTACAGTCGCAGTCTATATTCAGAGTCTACAATCGTTTAATTTTTGCACAATAAAGCTTAAACGACATTTAGAGGATTCATGTAAGCCATTTTCCCGTACAAAACTATTCAAAATCATACCAGCTGATGCGGGGAAGACCACGTTCTTCCGGCTCCGAAACTTGGGGACGGCGCAGCTGGAGGATCGCCGAGAAGGAAGCCGGGCAGGAACGTCGCTCCCCCCGCGCTGGGGCCGTGAGTTGGCGACCCTAGTGTCATCGGCTCGTGAGCTTGGGAATCCATCTTTCTCTTGCACTAAAAAAACAACCTATGTTCTCCTTTTGGTAGCGAAAAAACAAGCGTTTCAACAGGCAAACCTGGGGAAATTTGAAATTTACAAACTTGTCAGTCTGTGGCGGGATGTTACGATGCATTGTGGGAGTATGCTACTGAAAACTGTCTCAATGGACCAATCAGAAAATTGTACTTGTCTAAAGTAACGAATCAGAGGAAACCTTACAAAACATCATCCAATAGAATTCCAGATTGAAGACAGGATGTAGGGTAGAGTACTTCCGGTGTGGAAAGGAAGAGGGGACCCGGTGGGTGTTGGTGAAAAATGGTAAGAAAATCTTTGTATTTCTCATTTTATAAGGGATGTGAGGGATCAACTGACAATTTTTCTGCTTCTGAAACGTATTTGTGACACGTAGTAACGAGGAAAGTCCAGAAATTTTAATTAGAAGGCGATTTTCTTTCATATATGTTGACATAGTGTCATTGCCCCTCCCACATTCAAGTGGCACAAGGTGACTGGATGATACTAAATTATGGGAAAATGTCTTTCAAATACATTGTAATTACTACTCATAGCGTTTCAACCTATTGAGCTTCCATAGGGAGCAAAAAAATGTAGCTGTAGTGTGTGTACGTTTCTGGTTTACATACATGGATATTAACTGATGATGTTCGTCCATCGCAGTCGATGATGACCCCAACTTCAGTCCTTGGATATTAACTACAAACAAACAAACTGCAGTGAATGTCTAGTTAAGTTGAAATTTTGTAGGTTTTCTGAATTGATCTTCATCATCATTTGAGCAGGATATAGATATACCTGATCTTTGCCAAACATGACATGTGCAACAACCAGTGATACCTTTGTCTTGTTGTATGTTTCGTTGTATTTTGTGTATTACTAGCAGTCATGGGCTAGTTGGACAGGCTGGCTGTATGTCTCTCACAGCTGAACTGGTAAATAAGTAGATATAAGTAGTATATGTTTTTTCTCCCCAGATTCGTTTCATCCTGATCCAGAACCGTGCAGGGAAGACCCGCCTGGCCAAGTGGTACATGCAGTTTGATGATGATGAGAAGCAGAAGCTGATTGAGGAGGTGCATGCCTGTGTGACAGTCCGAGATGCCAAGCACACAAACTTTGTCGAGGTAAGCAACTACTCATGATTGAGATGGTCTGCAATTTTAACTGTTGGTAGATCTAGAAACCAGACTAATGCAAGCCTACATGCAGGCCAGTTTCACCCCCAAGATCTCTGGACCACCTTGGGAACTCTATCTGCTCCTTTTGGATCTTCAACAAACTGACCCTTGTATCCAGGGTTTCATTGCTTTGGATCTTCACTCACCCCTTCTCTCCTACTGTGAAACAATTGTTGACTTTAGAAAATTGATGACACTTGTATTGTTTTCTGACCGTTTCCTTGATTCCTTTCCCCAGTTTCGTAACTTCAAGATCGTGTACAGAAGATACGCAGGACTGTACTTCTGTATATGTGTGGATGTAAATGACAACAACCTGATGTACCTTGAAGCCATCCACAATTTTGTTGAGGTAAGTGTTTTTGCCTTGGTGTGCCAGTTATGGACATGAATAATCATCTGGCACTGTCTATATTCTTTTATATAGATTATTCAACTCACCAGTCCCATAGCAGTCACGTAATTTTCCAGGTCTTTTATGTCATTTTTGCATCTTTCCTGTAAGACAGACAGTCCCACATACTCAAAGCTGTTTTAATGACATGCCCAGACCCCATTCTTTCATCCTAATATATTCCAAGCAGTACTCAGTTGTTTAGCATTTAGTCCTAAGAGGTATATTGACAAACTATGGGTGATTGACTGCTCTTTGTTACAGGTGCTGAATGAATATTTCCACAATGTTTGTGAACTGGACCTGGTCTTTAACTTCTACAAGGTGAGTTATTTTTAACTACTAAAGCACTGTTTTGTACAGTTATAATGTATCTAATCTTTTAATAATGTCATTATCCTAATCAATGAACTTTCATTCAAATGTCATGAGATGTTGTGTAGAAAGTTGAAGATGTCTGTGTCCCTGCAGGTGTATTCAGTGGTAGATGAGATGTTCCTGGCAGGGGAGATCCGGGAGACAAGTCAGACAAAAGTCCTCAAACAGCTCCTCATGTTAGGGTCTCTGGAGTGACGGATCATGGGAAGGAATGGCCAAATCAAAGTGAAAAGTCTCTGCACTTCAACTGCCCAGGAGTTCAGGTGTAGAGACAGAAATGATTGAAGGGGGGGGGGGGAAAGGAGGGTCTGTTTTGATCAACAGTTTGGACATAAACATAGTTTGAGCCATGAAGAAGGTCTCCTTTTGACCTGTGAATAGCTTCATCAGATGTAGAAGTATTTTGAAGGTAAAGTTCCATCCACAGCCGTGTTTGGGACTGCATTCTTGCTGCAACACCATGTTCAATAGCACAGTTCACAGCTCCCTGAAGGAAGCAGGTAATAAGTTGTGGAAGTGTTAACAGGTGACAAAATATTTGGCTGAGTGGAAGGAACTTTACCTCCAAGGGTATCTTTTGATGTTATTGAACAAGCAGACATCTGAGTCATCCTGGATAAGTATTAACTGTGGCGTAAAAGTTGTTGGTAGTTGTGGTCTTTGAAAAGATTGTGGCAATATTGTCCAATACACCCTGTTGTAGTCCAGACCAATATGTAAAATCATATGTATATGATAAATCTGTTGTGTCAATCATTATCTTAGTAACCTGGAACAAATGGTTGATTTGTAATCTTGTACATGTATATCAATGAGTGACTCATTGTTCTTGTGACAGCACTTGCTTGACTGCGATGAAGTAGTCTTTAGTATGATATGTATTTTATACTATTTTAGTGTACTAGTATTTAGTAGCGCTCCTGCAAGTGTTCAACATGACAATTCCTGACATTCCTATATTTAGTGCACCTATCAATGAAGTCTAGAGAGAGAACATACAGTTAACTTTTGATCAAAATTTTGAAAAATATTTGTCAGGTTTTGTTCAAAGTTGGGCATGAGAAAAGCATTGTTCCCCCTCGTTCCTAAAATCAGTAAGATCAGAATGTAGAAGAAAAAAGTTTTTTCAAAATCAGTGGTACTTACCATTAAATTTTGTAGGTGCTTAAATCAGAATGTTTTTTTTTTAAATTTAATCTGATGATTTTTGTCAAGACGTACACATTTAGGTTGTTACAACTTCAAGGAACTTGTCTTCCATTGTAGTTCCAGTGAGCTATAGGTATACCATGTAAGACCCACAACTTGTCAGCAAGGTTGCAGTACTTCCCATTATCAAGTTTGAAAAATATTTGACATACTTAATATATGTGAAATGTAGTGCCTCATGAGCAGTTAACGACTGCAATACAATTTACGCAAATGTTGATGTGTACTATATAGGGGCCAATAACATGCTAAAGATTGGAAACTGTAAGCCAGGTAATGTTAACCTGGTATCCACCTTTTTCTAGCTTTGGGTACAGGCAAACGTTCTGATCGACAAGGTCCCCATAACCACTATAACTCATATTCAAGCAGACATTTGGCAGTTTGATCTCATTTACCCTGCTTCTGAAATGAATTCATTACCTGAAATAATGCATGAGTAAGGACCAACTGTGGCATGCCAGATGAGTGATAGACTCTGCAGAGAAGTGATCTGAAGGGTGAGCAGGAGCTAGAATAGGCTGGATATCGGGCTATGTAAGGAAGTCTTCAAGCCTGCCTGAAGTCATACACTTTATGGTGAATCCATTTAGAAATGGAAGATTGCAACCCCTGTACTATAGCAGTATCACAGATAATGAAGAAATGTGTGCTGAATGTACCACATACAACAATATCAATTAAAAAAAAATAAAGTACAAAACCAGCATCCTGCACTCTATGCAATGTTTAATATCACTGGCAAGCTGGCATAAAAGCTTTAGTGTAACATTTCTCACCATTGGACTATATATATAACACATTTTCCTTTGTTCATGATTGATTCCGCTAAGAACAGCACAAGAACTTCCCTGTTAGATTTGTGCTGTATGTCAACAAAGTGGGCCATGCTTCGACGTCCCCACCTACATGTACATTGCCTGAGATACAGCCTTGTTGAGCTTGTCTAGCAGGGATGAAGTAGGCAGAAGCTAAACAAGATCCCAGGCTACTATGTATCTGTATGATGTAAGATACTTGTATATTATGATGTACTGTACTATATTTTCAAGACAAAGCTGTTAAATTTTAGAATAGCTGGCTAGTTATCTCCTTCACTTGTAGCATCTTGTTAGGTCCCCAATTACTACTTTCGTCCCCACTTATTGAACGTTACCACATACCTAGACTAAATCACATGCCCCAAGAATTTTCGGGGAGACAAACCATAAGCAGGCTTTGCCTGGTTAGGGATATGACCAGCACAAACAATTAGTTCCTACCAGTAGTATCAATACCATACACCTTTTCCTGAAATTCTGGAATCATCAGTGTTTGATGATACAAGAGCTTTGACTTACATGTATAAAAGATTAAAATGATAAAAGCAACAAAACGTCTACTAATGGAAATGTAAACAGAAGTATCTCCAAAGTGTTTCTTCTCTTGACCTAAAGGAATACATTCCTTGTTTCACATTTTACTTCAAAGAATGACACCCAGCTATCTATGTTATGTTCAAGACATATTGCAGCTTTACATTATTAATACAGAATCTATATACAAAACAAGTCTTATCTAGCAGTTGAACTTTCCCAACTAACATACATTTACACTTGAAAACACTGTTATAAGTCACAGAGGCACCATCAATATTGTTATAAGCATATGACTAGATTACAGACTACATCAGAGGTACAGATTGTCAGTAGATTTCAAACAAAAAAACTAAGGCAAGCCCTGTGCTAACAGTAACAGTAACAGTAAATACAATGTATCATACTAGGTAGCACCCTTAAATGTGTCTCCAAGACATCACATCATAATCATATCATACCGGTATCATGGTAGCTATTTGTCAAAACCCTGCCTGGCAACAAACATAGGGAAAAAAAAAGAAACATCTGTCATGACCCAACAAACAGCAGGAAAATAACACAAACAATCACAGTCACATTAAATTAAATCATCACCCAAATATGGTAGCAGCTAGCTCTATCTTCTTTCTCATCTTTTTGCAGCAGCTACAGTACATACCCAGCACTGATTCTTTACTTTTCTATATCTTTGCTTTTGGTAAGTCTATATCATCCAGTCTTGTTTTGTGGGTGCTGGGGTTATCATGTCTCCACTCAGATCAGGTGCTTTAGGAGAAGCAGGATACTTCCTAGGGGATTTTGTCGCGCTCCTGGGTTTGTACACTGCTTTGTGGGGGGAGTGGAAGCGTCTCACCTTCACTGGGGTGCTACGTTTCAGATTAGTGGCCCTCTTGGGTGTCTTGATGGCGGCTCCTAGCTTGATGTGGAGCGGTGTGGAGCTGTTCTCTTCCTGCCCTGGTAACAGCAGTGCTTGTTTGATCCTCGGGGTCTTGTCTGTCGCCATCTTTGGTAGAACAGTCTTTGGTGTGTTGACGGGCTTCAGGGGAGACATGGCCACTTTCCGTGCAGGTGATTGGACTGGGTGGCTGTTGGCGAGGTTGTAGGAATCATTGAGGTTGGTACAGATGTTTTCTGCTTGCAGGGCATCCAGGGCAGCAGCTACAGACCTGGACGACTGGCAGCTGGTGTCCATGTCCTCTGGTTTGAACTCCAGCCCTACGTTTGCCATGGAGCTGTCGATGCTCAGTGCTTTGACCAGAGGAGTGGTAGGGAGTTTTGGGGTTGCAGCAGAAGGCAGTTTTGAGGTGGAGACAGATGCAGCATTGTTGGTGTTGAGAGCTGGTTTGTCTTGCATCTCAGGCTCTTTCTTAGGTGTATCCCCCATGTGCCAGGAGCGCCTGGCAGGGGACTTGCGGAAGAGCAGTGGATTTTTCACCACCCTCAGTGGGGAGGTGAACCTGTTGCCATCATCCATCGACATGTTGTTCCAGATCTCTATGGAGTTTGCCACGATGCCAGTCTTGATCTCGCGTGGGATCGACGGGAAGCTCGCTGCATGCTGCACCTGGGATGGCGAACTGGTATCAGCAGGAAGGCTGGCGCTTGGAAGAGCCGAGTCACTGACAGACTTGGTTGGTGTCTTGAGTGGTTCAGTAGCTGGTGGGGGGCTTTTCTGTGCTCTTGTGATGGGAATACCCGAACCTTTGCCAGGAGAGTACACGTACAGATCTTTGGACGAATCTCTGGCCTTCATCTCTTTCTTCTCCACAGCATCTGATTGAGCATTGCTGCTGCTCCCAGGGCGTGACTCGTTGCCACTGGGAGACAGGCAGCTAAGAGTTTGTTCCAAATCAATCAGCACTTTCAGGTTTTTCTCCACCTTTTTGTGCATCTCGGAGCCACTTTTCAGAGGAGAGGAAATGACTGGACGTCTCTTCCCCATGCCTTCAGCTTTTGCCTTTGCTGGAGAGGCGTTTGCCCTAAAAGATGGCAGCGGTCTTCCTGCATGAGTTGGGGGCCTTGTCTGCCTTTCCAAAACTGCCCAGCCTTCCTAATCTGCTTGCATTTCTTTCTTTGCTATCCTTACGTGCAACAGTGGTCCCAGATTTCTTTTTCTCACTTTCCTTTCTCGTGACTTTACTGCTTTGTGCCCTCATTGCTGTGTGATCTCCCACATTCCTGAAGCTGTTTCTTGGGGCAACTGTTCCCTTCTTGTCTTTGTCACTATTCCTTCTGATGACTGGTGCCCTCTCCCTATCCTTGCCACTGTTGCTCCTCACAGCTGCCTTTCTGTCAGCGGCTTTCCTCTGCGCAACACTTGATCCCTTACGTGTGACACTGGATGGAGTGGTGCCAGTGCTGCCAGGAGTCTTTCTTCCAGGGGTCCTCCCTGAGGGTGTTCTGGTCTTCTTGGGAGTGACGGCCTTCTTGGTGGGGGTTGCATCGTTTCTTCTTTTTGCAGGTGCGTTCTGGCCTGCAGGGTTTGCCTTTTTGGTGGGAGAAGGCTGCACCTTCTTTACAGAGTTATTGTGGCTAATTTGTTGCAGGGATGTTGTGGCAGCTTTGGACACTTCTTTCGATGCATCTTCTGCACTTTGTACATCCTTTTCCATTGCATTTTGGGGTTTCTCTTCCACTGAAGTTGATCCTGACGACACAGCACTTTCCATACTTCCATTCTGACTTTCTTTCATTTCTGGATTATTGGATGCTTGTTCCCTCACTCTCTCCTGCAGCGTCATTGTGATATTCTTCCCACCAACATTCAGAGACAGGTGATACTGACCCATCCTTGGCCTCTTACTTGGTGAAGAGATGACCTCGTCCTGTTGTACCAATGGTCTTTTCACTGGAGAGTTGGGAGAATCTTCCTCAATATCAGGAGAACTGAGCAACTCTTCCTCTTTTTCACCATGAGCTGATGATGGTTCTGGGATGCCCAGGGATGGGAAGAACTTGGTGGTTCTGGTGTAGGCAACGAGGCTTGGCAGTTCTGGCACGTCAGCTGGGCTGCTGCGGTGCTCAGGTGGGGTCACCATCTCAGGCGGTGTCGTGTCGGCTTTGAATCCCAGGGTCCTGACAGCTGACTGCATCAGAGCATCTGACTGGACCTGGGCAGGTGCAGCAGTACCGGCATCTATCAGTGCTTGCTTTCCCATGGGAGAACTTGTCATGTGGATGTCGACTGTAACGACCTTGGGGGAGTGTGCAGCTTTGGCTTCACACCTGGCAGCAAGGTGCTCCCTGAATGGTGTCTTGACAACATCTGTACCTGCAGACACCTGTTCACCTGCTCCGGCCAGGTGGCTCTTGTAGGGCGTCTTCACCAGGTCTGCAGCCATCAACAGTGGATTCCCTTTCTTGGGCTCTTCTGGGGTTTTTGCTAAGTCTGCAGCCACCATCATCACATTCCCACCGCCGGGCTCTTCAGGGGTTTTTTGAGTCCCTTGAGCTAGTAGTGATGACAGACACATCGGGCGTTCTGGACGTATCATTCAGGAAACTTGTGCTGATCATGGAGACGTCTGGGGTCTTTGCTCCCTCTGTGGAGCTTGTCATAGTGGAACTTGTGGTCAGGGTGGAGGAGTTGGGGTCCATGGCGTTACTCCTCCTACTGAAGTTAAGGAGGGGCGAGGTTGGCCTTTCTGTACTGGGGACAGGTAAGGACTTGGAAGGCCCTGCTCTTGCGTGCATTTTGAAGAACGACCCCCTCACCTTCTCGTTCAGCTTTGGGCTGGCGCCAAAGTCGAGGGTGGACAGGCCTGTGTCTGGAGGATGGTTTGCCAGCCGTGACCCCACATTCTCCAGGTTCAGACTGGTAGACTGTACCAAGGGGGACTTCTGTGGGACATGCAAGAAAAAAACAAGATCAACATCTCAAGCAGAACAAGATTTGAGCTGATTTCTGCTGGTGAGGAGATTTGATTATTTTCCTGAACACCTTCTTGGCAAGTGTTGAGGGTATATAAATGAATAAATAAATATTTGCCATTTTGCACGGAATTTCATAGGATGCTAAGGAGAAGATGCTGATTAGTAGGGTGCAGGCTACTCACATGATTGAGAAGACCTAATATTAATAACCAAGTCACTAACACTTTGAGTCTCACCTCAGACTTTCCTCGGCCTCCGCTGAACCTCTTCTTGAGGGACCTCCTGAGCTTACTGCCGCCTGACGATCGCCTGGGGGAGAAACAACCAGCCTTGCCACTCGAGCGCCTGGTGGTGAGGACAGGAGGACAGACAGAGAGGGAGGGGAGGAGACCATCACCATTAATCAAAGGACGTGTGAAACAACAGAAGCTTCACTGATTAAGTATTTTCAATCATTGTTGATGATTGTTAAAAGAAAGGAACACCCAAACAGTCTCCAGAAAGGTCTAAGACATGAATCCAGGAAGGGGCTACCAAGTCATCCATTTATCCTGAGCGATAAGTGCATCGTTTTCACTATAGATACTTACTGATGAACTTAAAATTAAGAACGTGACATGCAAAGTCTAGATGACAGTTTGAGGGCAACTATTATGTTAGCACATACATGTGTCTGTCAGTATCAATTACAACAGAATGGAGAGTCCACCTTTTCAGCTTGTCAGCCAAAATTTTCCCAATCTTCTTAGAGGGAGTGGCCTTGCCCTGACTAGCAGTGGACAGCAAGGAGTCCTGTAGAGAGCTGGCCTTGAAGCTGACCGACTGACCCGGGGGCTCCACGAACTGTATGCTGGGGCTGGTGGGGGACCTGGGGGTGAAGAGCTGGTCACTGCTGATGCACACTGGGAAAGAAATGGAACAATGTGGACGGAATAAATCTCATGTTTTTGAGGAAGACTGTGGCACCACAGGAGAATATCATCTTCTCTGTATAGACTAGAAGTCATTGCACACTACAGTTGTAGAGTTAGGCAAAACACAAATGTGCACAAAAAACAACAAAAAACACTCTGAACTCAAAACCTCTACGGGAACCTAAGAGAGGAGAAATGGTGTGTTAGAAAACAATTCTACAAAATAAAAATAAAATGTGATCTATGATGACAGGTTGCAGTAGCTTTTTTATACTTTTCTTGTGAGCGTGTGTAAGTGGGGTCTCAGCCTGCTGTAGGGACCGGTCCAGGCCATAACAGAGCGTGGCATACTGTCGGTACGAGTCTCTGTCCAGTCGGCTTGTTATCGAGTCTGCTGGGCCAAGAAAATTGCATGCAAGACGTGAGACAAGTGGGGAAATATTACAGTATGCTGAAATATATCAATCATGTTGCAAAAGACACCTTTGTCTATGCATAGATTTTTACGTTATAGTGTTATACAAATTTTACGGAGACAATGCAGGGCTTGAATTTTGTTCTGTTAGCTGCAACATTGTAAGTTGCATATGCAGTTGGTATAACTGTTACATTACCTGCATCTAAATCAGCCTGGATGAGGTTGCTGGGAGTCAGCAGACCCTCAGGAGTCCTGCTGGCCCCTCCGTACTGAGGCTTGGCCTGTCTCTGCCCCATCTGCTGTAAAATAGCTTTCCTGCAAACAACAACCAGGGATGTTTATGTTATGTCTCATGTCTCAGAATTTTACAAGTAAATGAAAAATCGGTCTGTAAAAGAATTAAGTCTGTCAACTTTATTATTCTTCAGCTAAAACAAGGACCACTAGATTTGAGTAATGCTTATCAGACAAATTTTGCTGAGCTTGTCCTGAGCTTTGGTGTACAGATGCAGTAAAATACACCAGTGATCTCTCACCTTCTTACCTGTATTGCACAGATTACTGAGTATGAAGGTCTTGAACACCTCTGTTTATGCAGTTGATCTACAATATCATGTTTTGTCTGATCAGTGCATCACAATACGTCAAGACAAGATAATGTTCCACAGTTCCCATCTCACCTCTTGGCTGCAGAGAACGCGGCATGGTCGTCCTCTGCCTTCCTCTTGGTGGAGCGCATGATCCTGGGGGTTACCTCACTCATCATCACTGCTGGGACGTTGGTGATCACCTCTGTAAGGACAGGACAGAATCATCAGCTGTAGAGTCAACTCAATACTAATGCTCCAGCAGAGTTCTTTTTCTCATTTATTAATATCAGTGTTGAAATCAATCAATCAACTACATGTACTTTTAAAACTTGTTTAAATGAAGGATAAAAACAAAGTTGTGTTTTTACCAGAGTCTGCTTGATCTGAGCTTGAGTTCTGTCTGGATGGTGTTTTGATGGAGGATGAACTGCCATGCCTCAGCTTGTTCAGTCCCTGACTGATCCCATTCACTATACCTGTGGGAATATGTAATAAAACTGTCATCAACAAACTTCAAACATTTAGTTTAGCACCCAATCCTTACTGTGTACACTGTGGTTTTCTACATCACAGGATGTGGTTGACAAAATATATTCCATTCTTCTATGATGTGCAGAAGCCCAAACTCAAGTTTGCCTTTGCACAACGGCATAAATAATTTTGTAAGTAAGTTGATATGAAAAACATTTACCCACATATATGTATTAAAATATGGCTATCCCTATGAAAAGCCAGTCTGAGAAATGTGTAACCTTGTATGGATCCACTCCTGCGTTTCTTCCTCTTTGTCTTCGACCCGTCCAACAAGGAGTCCACGCTCTTGTCAAGTTCGTCTCCTGACACCAGCCCGTCCATGTCCTTCCCACTCAGCTGGGCAGCTCGCTCCAACACACTGTCAGGAACAGCACCTGTACAAGGGAACAGCTGTCATCTCTGGTACATGTATGTGAACAGCACACTTGTATTGGGGAAAACAAATGTAAAGGGGAACAGCTGTCCTGTCTCATTCATGCATGTGTACAATACACTGTAGGGCTGGAAATACATTTCTTCTGCACATTTAAATGACCTACACCAGGCATACACATAATGACATTCTTAAATCATACACATACTAACAGTACTAGTGGTAACACACCAATCTTTCTATTCCTTTTCTAACATACCTATGCTGTGGGAGTTCTGGATGAGAAACTTGACAATCTCTGTCTGCATCTTCAGCAGCTTGTCGGAGCTGATGTCTACACAGGTTTTTCTCCAGGGTGGGCATGAGGTTGGGGGTCATGACCAGGGCCAGGTTGTTCTCGTCCATCTTGTTGGAGTCTGCCCTGGCAGCCAGCCTGGCCAGGAAGGACATGGTGTACTGTAGGGTGTTGAGGTGGAGGGTGGGCAGCATGGCACACACCGACAGGAGGGCCTGACAAGAAACAGACAATAATAATTATGAAAATGAAGACCTTATCTGTACACTTTGCTCCACTGGGCTAAGCACAGGTCACAAGTTTACAAACATACTGTACAATACACATATACATGTACATAGATACGGTACCTTAAATACAGTCACTTTGGCTTCCTCTCACTCCTTCGTATTTTATAAATACAGGAGGATGAGACATTAGTATAAATGCAGTAGCTAGAATCATGTGACATCCAGGACTCCATATTTCCTGCAGCTGAGACATGTTTGTTGTACTGACCAGGATCCTGTCCCTGTCCTGCTGGATCTCCTGGGCCTTCAGCAGGCAGCTGTGCAGCCGGTGGGTGAAGAGCGGGTCGGGCAGCTCGCGGAAAAACTGCTTGAACAGGTTCGCCACGTCCAGGACAGAGGCCTCTCCAAACTCTCCACCTTCATCCAGCTTGATCTGAAAGGGTGGTGTTAGAACTTAGAACTATTGATATGATATGTATAATGTATAAAATTATCTTGTTACCTATTGGAGAGTAATTTTGAAAAATCATAATGTATAGTAAAGGTATTGTAGACCCATATCCTTTTTCAAGCTAGGGCAGTGGTTGTTATCCACTGTGTGTCAATAGCACGGTATCACAGGGCAGAGCCCATCTTTCTCTTTCTCCTGTCTAAGAGTTCAGAAGAGTAGGGTGGTTTTCATACCTTGAGGTCTTTCTGTCGTGCATGTGACCCAGATTTACGAAAGATCCCCTCGGTTTCGATGTGTTCCTCCAGGAAGTTGACAGTCGTAACAAGAAAACTGATCCAGAAAAGATCAAAAGTTAGTGTGCGGATCCAGCTATTGTCATCCAAATGGTGAAATCTCACATCACAAAAATAAATATTAACCTTGAGTGATTGAAATATTTTCTTCCATATCACTTTCAATTTTATTTCTTTTTTTACTATTTGTTTTTAATCTCAAAACATTGTGTTACAACAGTTAATGTTATCATTATGTTGATGATAATTTCTGTCTGAAAGGTTTTAATGTCTATCAAGAGAAATCATTCTCAGCTTGAAGTTTCAAAGGAAACGCCCATCTTACGTTGGTACTTGGTATGTCCCAGCAGGGGTGCTGACTGGCACTGTGGGTAGATTGGTAAGCCTCCTCCCAAACACACCAACGCCTGGGCTGTGGTTTTTGTCCTGAAACAAAAACAAGAGGTCTTTTTACCGGCAACGGTACACTAAATTTCATGTATCCCTAGCTACCCTGGATATATACGGCGTTGAAAATAAATACACCATCAACCTGGATCTTCACACAAAAATAAGCCTGCACCACACTTGAGCTCAGATCAAGGTTGAGCTTATGATGAGTGACGACCATGAAAGAATTTCTTTTGTCTTTTCATCGAGCTCCAGTGCCCTAGGACAAGAACTTCCAAAATATGTTGAATATTCATCAATCAAGGATGACAAAATATTTTACTCATCTAATCACTTTCTGTGCAAAGGAATCGGTTAGTTTTTAAAAATGTTTTGAGTGAACGTCGGTTTCAAATCAAACACGGGTCACTCACCTGGCTTTTCGACGACTTCTTGATTTTGGGCACTTTGATCCCAAACTCCTTCAAATCTTGCGCAATCACTACCCTAGCGAACCTATCATCGTCTAGCTCTGATAGGAACTTCATCGTCAGGCGTATGATTTGTACAAACGCAGAAATAAACTAAAAATCGGAGAAAATAGCCGGTCGTCGACGGACCCTCTGCTTACAGGGCGGCCATACTTTTTGAAAGTTGCCTCGCTTGAAATACTGCACGCTGATTGGTCGGTAGGAATTCAAATCAGTATCCGGTTTGCTGCAGAAACCGGAAACACTCTGGGTGAGTTTACTATTGAAACGACGTAAGGGGATCACTTTTAGGTTGGATTCAAACATTAGTAATCATCATAAATGACACAATAAAGATTCATTCACGCAGACAGTAGTAGTGACTATATTAGAAATGGAGGTGATATGAGCCGTTCTTTTTAACGGTAGATTTATAAGGACAGTTTGGTATACCCCCATGTACAGTTTAGAATAGTCTACAGTTTTCTCATTGGCACAGTCTGTAAAGTCCGCGAAGCGATAACAACAGCCACAAAACTCAGCACAAATAACGTCAACAGTGCATATACACAGTTTTGTTGGCGGTATCTGGACAAATGGAGGCAGGTAAGATGTGTTGATGTTTACATAGGGCAGGTCTGTTTGCGAGATCTCCTTCTATTATGACCGGTGGCGAGCTATGGTGGGGTTTGGGACAAACACCGCACCGTCGGGCCGAAGGCATCTCACCATGTGTATGTAATGAGCTAGACTACACAAGTAACGTTTCAGGCGTTCGCTGATCTGTGAGGTATGCCACTTTACTAGCATTGTCGTATTTGAACAGTGCATATACATGGAACAAAAGTACGCCGACAGTCTGTAAAAGAAGGGTAAGCTTTTTAGCGTCGGTGCGGTGGGTGTTTCCCTGCTTCGCGGGCCGAAGGGGCGTTTATCAATGGCTGTGCTTCCACTTGTTGCCGGGGATATGCCGCTGATTTTACACATCGTTATAACGTTAGCGTAATCAATCGAAATTAAGATCAGGCGTATCTAGCAGAATCAGACGAGTGAAGATTAATCATGTTTCCAATTCATGGTAGAAATGATTAGCCCCCTGAGTTCAACGTTTCCGCCGATGCGTTTCGCACTGGTTCAAGTTTCATGCCATAACACTTTCTTCATTGATGACCGGCTAACCGGCTGAGTGCCAACAAGTTGTAACTACAACACTCTTCAAATGGCTCGGGTAATTCATTAACTAGAAGTCAGGTGGAGGTGTAATGGGATCCCACGACAAAAGCGACCCCCTCTCGAGTCAATATTTTAACTTCTAATCTAGGGCTAAAGCCACAGTGGAGGACAGGTGTCCATTTTCTCAGTGGAAGTTTCCACCTGACTTGCACAGGTACCATGGTATGAAAGCCGGGCAGGGGCAATTATGCTCCAAATGGCTCCGTCAGCATTGTTGCACCTGCTGCCTGGCATGTTGTTACTACATTTCATAACAAAAAAAGTTCATGTTTCCAATAACAGTCTCTGTCCTTGGGGCAAAACAAGACAGTGTAACAGTAGGTTGAACAACATGTTGATGTATTGGTGAGTGACAAACTTATGAAAATCATATCGTGTGGATCTCATTTTATGGCAACTTGGTTGGCCACATCATGGGAAATTATGAGACTAAATGCATTTTCTATAGAAAAGTACTGTATTAAATCTAGGCATGATTGAAACATCCGTTATATCATGATACTATATATATATATAATATATGTATATAGTATTTTATATATATATATATATAATCAATTGGTCTATATTAGAATTGCCTTCTCATTGATCTTGTTACCAAAGTGTTCGGGTCAACTATTCTTAGACAGGAATATCACATATCACAGGTAGTAAGGGATAAATTTCAGCCACTTATTACAAATGACCTGCTATCAATTTTGCTCCCTGTCTACTCTTAGATCAGGGTATCAGTTATTCTGTAAAAGGAAACAATGATTTGTTATCTTAGCCTGGGCCTGTGTCTATTGATTTTCACTAATTTTATAATAAAACATACAACTGTCAATGGATCTGTTCATCCCAAATGAATTTAAGAAATGGATATCTGTGATGATAGGTCATAATTTCTCATATAACTTCACTGATAATTATACTAGTAGCTAAACTGATTGAAAGTCTGCTTGTTGGCCAGCTGTTTCTTTGGGTCTTTCACATCCAAACTGCTGTGCTATGATTCGCGTAATTTTTTTTCTTTCCAAATCTTAACCTTGAAAACCTTCATCTGATTTAAGACTAGGAGAATGACGAGAGAAATGATGCACATCATGAGATGAAGTAGACTTGTTACTTGGGCTGCACAATTTTAGAAGAGATACTTGAGCTGTGCCTCAGGGACATCTCTTCTAATGAGGCCATTAACAAGTTGCTTTTTGTGCTGTCTGTTAATGATCAACCAACGTCAAGTAATAAGCATCATAGACTCTTTTTGAAAATCATTTTACCTGATGCACGTATATCACTAGGTAGTTCATACATTACATTCACGCTATGTTTAAGAGTGAAAATGTTCTAGTCTGAAACATGTGGATTTTTTTTGTTGATACTTGGGTATTCAGAATTGGGTTGTAAGAACTGTACATAGTTCCATGGTATAATGTTTCCCTTCTCTTCACACTGACTTCTTACCTCACTGTTATCATAGATAGACTGTCTAGTTCTGTGAACAGTTCAAGGAACCACAGATTTGATGTTAGTTTGGTCCTGCTACCCACTTTACCATTACTGTCTCAGAAGTTCCTACCCCTAATTAGCCGTTCTGCCGGCTGAGCCCAGTAGATTTGTGTGAAATGTACGTCACTGAACACCTGTTGAAATTACGGGGTTCTATTTATGGACAAGTATCACAGGTGGGCCGCCAGATAATTATAATTGTAAAACCAATAACAGCCTGCACGGCCCTGCAGAGATATTTATGAAGAATTCACTGTTTTTCTGCACAGGCGGCATTATAGGGAGTTTTTTATTACTTGGAAAAGTTTACAGGTGGTTGAGGCAGTTACATATGTATTTTGGGTATCCTTGCCCAAATTAAGATTAAGATCAAAAGTAAGAACTATGCAGACTGACTACAGTATAAATTTGATTTGTAATCAGAATATGATAGAGACTTTTGAGACATTCAAGGCTTTGGTGTGTTTGCCTCTGCTAAGTTGCTCTAGATTGGCTTAGAACTGACAGAGGCTAAGGTCCAGTACAGTAATGGAATGCAGCAATATATATGCAGCAATACATATACACACATGTATATAATGTAACTTTCTGGGATTCCAGTACTGGCATGTAATACCCGGTAGTTCCCAATTCTTTATCCGTATACTAACAAGTGTCTATGTTTGTATCTGTAAACATTTTTGGTAGAGCCATACCTAGACAACAGTGGAATATAGACATCAGAGTTACCACCCACCAATATGTGGTGTATATTGATTTTAGAGCAGGGGCATGCATAGATTACGACATTGATAAGGAAAACTGATCGTTTTGAAATTAGCCCCACTTAAATGTCTGAAGTTGTGAAACGTTTTTTTCGGTGTCTCTTTAAAACTAGTTTTTTTTTTCATTTACAAAACGTGCACATGTAGGGCTTGAAATAGATACTCAGTCCTGTAAATTGTGTAATTTGCAGAATGCTTTTATGGGGTGATGGTAAAAATATCAATAACTTGCAATATGGTGCTGGCTAAGAGAGTTCAGGCTTAGTACCATAAATCCCAAGGGAGCAAACTAAAGCCTTCATCACCAGCAGCTTGCAAGGAACTGCAGATCATAAGTTTTCTTATATAATGTCTCATAAGGCCACGCCAATTTAATTTCTTGGTTAATGGATTTGCCTGCTTCATTTTTTTCTGATTTGCAAATAAAAATAAGAATTCTAAATCAACTGCAAAATACTCATATTTTGCCCTGAAAAGTTGAAAACAGTCCTTTTCATCCTAGTTGTTACATCTTTCAATGCAATGGTATCATTAAAAGTTAAAAATTCATTGTTTAAATTTTGAACCAGCCTGGTGTGTTGACTTCATGGCTCCTATCGTACCATTTTGGACCATAATAGGATGCCTAGGCCTGTTTTTATTTTTTTTTTTTTCGTTCCCGTCCCGCTCCATTATTTTTTCTAGAAAAATCTGTTAACCAAGAATTTAAATTGGTGTGGCCTAAGAACAAATGATATTCTGAGATTTGTATGCTGATAGTATGTAGGCTCCATCAGGCTGAGGTTGTTGTTAGACAGGAATATTAGCTTGGGTATTTGCAGTAAGTTTTTTTCCAGAATAATGAGAATTGCATGTAAATTTCTGATAACTTAAAAACATTGCAGATAACAGAAAAAAGTATAATAATAATTCCAAGTGTTGACATGCAACTAAATGGCTTATCCAGATGCATAGTCGGGTT